AAATATTCAAAATAAGAATGACAAGGGGAAATTGTAAAACAACAACAATATTTTCATCACAATAAGCAACTACTTTACAAACTTTTATACAAATAAATTTGATAAATCTAGATGAAATAGATAATTTATAAGCAACATAATAGTTTCCCAAAAATGACCCCATAAGAGAGAGAGATTTTCATTAGAAAAAACAGAGAAAGTTATCAAAAACAACACATACATACCAGGCCCAGATGGTTTCATAGAGGAATTCCATAAAACCCTCAATGACCAGTTAATCCCAATGATACTACATAAAATATTCTAAAGCAAAGAAAACCAAGGAAATAGCCAAGTTTATTTTGTAAAACAAATGTAATGTTGATACCCAAATCTGACAAAGACAATACAAAATTTGAAAATTACAGACTAATACAATTAATGAACATTTTTTAAATCCTAAATATTAGCTAATCAAAATCAACAGATCCAAAGATTAAAATGTTATGATTATCTCCACAGATGCTAAAATATCATTTGGCAAATTCAGCATCCAATCCTGATTTAAATATACACACACACTTAAGAGAACAGAAATTGTTGGATACTCTCTAACATGGTGACAAAGCCAACATCTTACATAATGTAGAAATACAGGAAGTAATTCCTCTAAAGAAAAACAAGGCAGAGCCGATACTATCTAACACTAGACTGGAGATGTTAACCAATGATACGAGATGAGAGAAATCAATTATGAGGCAAAAGTATTGTAAAGAAAGACCAAAACCCCAAGGAAAAAAAATATGCGAAGGACGTCAACAGCCAATTCACTAAAATAAATTTTAAAATGGTCCTTAACAAAACAGAGAGCTTAGAAGCAATGATACACAAGGAGCAAAAAGCATACCAAGTGGTTTTTAAATATCACTGTCCATTAACAAGGCCCTTAGAGAAATGTCTGAGTCCTGGGCTAGGATACGTAAAGTACAAAATGAGCCTGGGACATTTTCATTAGCCAGAAAAAAAAAGAAAATACTAAAACAAAGATGGAAACACATTAAAGGGACAAGAGAACCAGTTTAAAGACCCTCTCATGGGCCTTTCACATTCAATAAATTAAACATCAAAATGATGGCGAAGGACCAAATAAAGAATCCACTGGTTCATGCTAGTATTAACATACGAGGTGGGGCTAGCTCTTACAGTAAAATGTCAATTAATAAATTTAGCAGATGGAGTTGGAAAATTCTCACTTGGCAACTTCTTATTTGTTTTATAAAATACACTTAGTTATTTCCTTGGGTTTCTATGCTCTAGAATACTTAGTATAGTATCATTGGGATTAAATGGTCAAGGGTTTCATTAATGAAGCATCTGGGCACACATGCATATGTGTGTTGTTCTTGAGAGCTTTTTCTATTTTCTCAAATGTTACCGTAGTAACAACTGATTTACAACAGAATCATCAATGGATGCTAAAATTCATGGGTGAAAGTTTGATGAGGAACAAGCTATATAAACAAACAGAATGCAGGTGTGAGACTGCTCAAGTTCATCATTACCATCCATTAATAATGCAAAATTGCCCTCTAAATTCCCCCTACAAAATTTCTAAGACTAAAAATTATAATACTTTATTTTTGAGATTTCAACAAAATAACTTTAATATAAGAAAAGAATAAAATTTGTCTTCTATAATTTAACAAAGCATGAGTCTAGAGTTTAGGGAACAAAAATATTAGCTAATATAAACAGGAATTTTTCACAATGTAATTATGCTAAAAAAAATGAAATAAAGTAATATTCCCAAATGAAACTTGAGTAAAATATATTTACAAAAAGCTCACTTTACAGACTGGAGTGAAACAGCCAGGAGAGTTAAGTGGTAAATTATATCATTATTAAATACAAGGGAAAGTTTTTTCTTCCATCTAAATAATCCATAAGCAAAAACTGGCATCTTTTTAAATAAAGAAAACATACTGGTTTGGTCATATCCTAGTGTGACAGGTGCTATAACAGCAACGCTTGTAATAAACAAAGGCCTACCTTTTAAATCCATAAATTAAAAATTATGCCTAAGTAGGCTGGGCGTGGTGGCTCATGCCTGTAATCCCAGCACTTTGGGAGGCCAAGGTGGGTGGATCACGAGGTCAGGAGTTCGAGACCAGCCTGACCAACATGGTGAAACCCCATCTCTACTGAAAATACAAAAACTAGAAGGGTGTGGTGGCACGTGCCTGTAATCTCATCTACTCAGGAGGCCAAGGCAGGAGAATTGCTTGAACCCGGGAGGCAGAGATTGCAGTAAGCCAAGATCGTGCCACTGCACTCCAGCCTGGGTGACAGAGCAAGACTCCATCTCAAAAAAAAAAAAAAAAAAAAAAAAATGCCTAACTACTGGCGTAACTCAGAGAGATTGCAGGTTCAGTTCCAGACCACCTTAATATAGAGAATATTACACTAAAGCAAGTCACACACATTTTTTGGCTTCCCAGTGCATATAAAAGTTATGTTTACACAATACTGCAGTCTACTAAGTATGCAATAGCATTACATAATAAAAAACAATGTATATACCTTAATTTAAAAATACTTTATTACTAAAACCTACTAACACTCATGTGAGCCTTCAGTCACTCTTAATGTTTTTGCAGGTGGAGCATCTTGCCTAGATGTTTATGGCTGCTGACTGATCAGGGTGGTAGCTGAAGATTGAGGTGGCTGTGGCAATTTAAAAAAATAAGACAATAGAGTTTGCTGCATCAATCAACTCTTCCTTTCAGGAAGATTTCTCTGTAGCATGCGATGCTGTGTTTCACAGCATTTTACCCACAGTAGAACTTCTTTCAAAATTCCTATCAAACCTGCTGCTGCTTTATCAACTAAGTTTGGGTAATATTCTAAATCCTAATCCTTTGTTGTCATTTCAGCAATGTTCACAGCATCTTCACCAGGAGTAGATTCCACTTTCTTTGTTCATTCATTAGAAGTAACTTCTCATCTGTTCAAGTTTTATCATGAGACTGCAACAATTCAGTCCCATCTATGGGCTCCACTTTTAATTATAGTCCTCTAGCTATTTCCACCACATCTGCAGTTACTTTCTGCACTGAAGTCTTGAACAAAGTCATCTATTAGGGCTGGAATCAACTTCTTCCAAACTCCTGTTCCTGTTGACATGAGTGTTCTTAATGACATCTAGAATGGTGACTCCTTTCCAGAATATTTTCAATTTACCCAGATCCATCAGAGAAATCACTACCTATATCTGGCATGTATTTCTCAAAAAATTAGACCTGAAAGTTGAAATTACTCCTGAACCATGGACTGCAGAATGAATGTTGTGTTAGCAGGCACGAACACAACATTCATCTCCTTGCATATCTCCATTATAGCTCTTGGGTAACCAGGTATATTGTCAATGAGCAGTAATATTTTTAAAGGACTCTTTCTGATCAGTAGGTCTCAACAGTGGGCTTAAAATATTCAATAAACCATGCTGTAAACAGATATACTGTCATCCAGGCTTTGTTGTTCCATTTATAGAGCACAGACTAGATACAGCATAATTTTCAGAATGGTAAATGAGTACTGGCTTCAATTTAAAGTCACTAGCTGCATTAGGGCCCTAACAAGAGAGTTGGCCTGTCCTTTGACACTTTAAAGCCAGGCACTGACTTCTCTCTAACTATGAAAGTCCTAGATAGCATTTTCTTTCAATAGAAGGCTGTTTTGTCTACATTGGAAATCTGTTATTTAGTGTAGCCACCTTCATCAATGATCTTATCTAAACCTTCTTGGATAACTTGCTGCAGCTTCTGCATCGGCACTTGCTGTTTCACCTTGAACTTTCATGTTATGGAGATGGCTTCTTCCTTAAACCTTATGAACCAACCTATGCTGCCTTCAAATTTTTCTTCTGCAGCTTCTTCATCTCTTTCTGTCTTCACAGAATTGAAGAGAGTTAGGAACATCTCTAAATGTTGTGGCTGCTTTGATCTTCTATCAAAACCGCTAAAACTTTCTCCATATCAGCAATAAGGCTGCTTTGCTTTCTTATCATTCTGTGTTCACTGGAATGAACTTTAATTTCCTTTAAGAATTTTTCCTTTGCATTCACAACATGGCTAACTGTTTGGTGCAAGAGACCTAACTTTTAGCCTATCTCAGCTTTTGACATGTCTCTCTAAGCTTAATCATTTCTATCTTTTGATTTAAAGTCAGACATGTGACTTTTCTCTTCACTTGAACAGTTAGAAGCCATTGTAGAGTTATTAATTGGCCTAATTTCAATACTGTTGTTTCTCAGAATAAGGAGGCGCAAGGAGAGGGAGAGAGATAGGGGAACTGTTAGTGATGCAGTTCAATCACACACAACATTTATCAATAATTCACCGTCTCACAGAAGTGCAGTTCATGGCACCCCAAAACAATTACAATCGAAACATCAAAGATCACTGATCACAGATTATCATAACAGATATGAAATGAAAAAGCTTGAATATTGTGAGAATTATCAAAATGTGACAGAGACACAAAGTGAGCATATGCTGTTGAAAAAATGACATCAATAGACTTGCTCAATGCAGGCTGACAAAAAACTCTAATTTGTAAAAAACTCAGTATCTGCCAAGTACCATAAAGTGAAGTCCAATAAAACAAGGTGTGCCTGTATGTACAAGTCAAATTTTGATTGAACAAAATTCTAATTTGACATAATCAAACTATCAGGTATAGGAGTATTTCTTTAATGTTTTTAAAAGCAGTGAAACCATTTTTTTCATAACAAAATCTTATACAGAATCCCAAAATGGAAAAAAAGCACAATTTCCCTGTTTGAATTCAGGATGAAGTATCCAGAAAGTGTAGTATTCTACATGTCTTCCTTCCAGGTCTCTATTAGAAAATCTAGGCATCTAGAGTTTAAGCAAAGTACACTATAAAGGGTTCTTAATTATAAAAAGATACCAATTCAACTAATTGTAATAAAATAAGACTTTTTTTTTCAGTCTACTTACCTACATTCCACATATAGGCTTGTGATCTTACAGTGACATTTTATTCTAAGCATCTGAACACAAGGTGGACATTCTCCAGGGTGACATGGCAAAATACATGGGTGAAGACAACCTAGTGGCCGTGACTTGGAGCACCCTTCCTCACAATGAAGGCATTCTGGGCCCGCCTGAAAAATAGCATAGAAATAAATCACCTAAGTACAAGGTAAGCCTAACATTTCTATATGTTAGAGTTATAAAATTTATATATACCATTAAAATAAAGTACTTCTGCAGCTCTTAGAAACACAGTTAATCAAATGGTACATGCTCTCATTTATCTTAAAAATATTAAAACTAAAGAATAGCAAGATTGTCAATATGACTATTATCCATATAGATTTTTTTTGCCTATGAGTCTCATTAAGTCAAATTGCCTCATTTTTAAATGAACCTTAAAATGAACTTGACTATATAAAGTATCCCACTAAAAATGTAAATTGCTTCCTAAAGAATAGTCAAAGACAGAAAAAAAAAATACACAGTAAAAATGTTCATTGATTTCTATACAATAATCAACACTGACCTAAAGAAATCAATATACTGTTAACACATAAATAAAAATTCCAAAGCACTAAACAGTCTGGAGGTAATTATCTCACCTTGCCAAAGAGAAACACATATAGAGTGAAAAAATAATGACCAGTAGTTTATATTTTAATGCACATCAAGGAATTAAAGTTAAATTACATTTTACAAATAAATGTACCTCGATGTAACTTAACAAGACACATTTTTTCCAGTGATTTAATAATGCTAAATCCCTTTTCTCTAGTGATTTAATACTGTTAAATCCCTTTTCTCTAGTGATTTAATAATGTTAACTAGTATTACAATCTATTAAAGAAGGTTAAAAATACTTGTTTCAGGATATTGTTTGTTTTCTCACATCATACTTGAGGTAAAATAAGAGAGCTATAGACATGGATATTAAATCTTAAAGGTCAAACATTTTTATTATCATTCCAAAGAGAAGCCATGATTACAACAATTATTATGATAAAATTCTAAGCTATTTTTTGACATATAGGATTAAAAAGAAATAGTGTTTCAAATTATAAAAATATTATTTTATAATTTTATAAAATAATTTTATTTTTAAAAAGTATATTCATTTATTCCACAAATACTCAACACTTATGTGCTGGGAATTGTTCTTGGCACTGGGAAGACATGAGATAGGCCCCTGGAACCTACATTTATGTGGGGAGGTAAAGAACATAAATATAATGTCTTCGTAACTACTCTGAAGAAAGATAAAGCAGGATAAGAAAGAGTGATGGCAGCAACAAGAAGGAAACCTGACTGATAAAGATCACGTGTGACTAGAAATTGAGTTAAATGAGGGAGAGAGCCACCAGAAAGGAGAGTTCCACAGGAAAGGAACAAATGCAAAGGCTCTAAGAAAAAACAAATGTGGAATGTTCAAGTAACAGGATGAACAGAGGTAGAAGTGAGTAAGCAAGAGAGTGATGAGTAGTCAGATGAAAGTTGGGAAAGATCATTACTGAGCCTTTATAGGCCATTGAAAAGGATTTAAATTTTGGTCAGAGAGTGACTGAAAACTACCAAAGGATATGGAGCAGGAAGATGATACTCAATTTACATTTTTCAAAAGATTATCTGGCTGATGCAATAAAACAAAGTGAGAGTAGAAAAGTTGGTTAGGAAATTACTGCAGAAACCTAAGTCAAAGGTGATGGTGGGCTTAGATAAGGATGGTAGAGGTACAGGTTATGAGAAACTGTCAGATTCAGGATCTATTTTGATGATAAACCTAACAGGATTATCTGTGGGAAAAGGACAACAAAGACAAGAAAGAAATCAAGCATGATTCCTATGTCTTTGATCTGCACAACTGGGTAAAAATGGTAAAATGACTTTCTGAGATGGGAAAGACTGAGCAAGTATTAGGCAGTGAGTAACAAAATATGCAAAGAGAACCAAAGTTAACATAAAGAGTTTATTTCATTTGCTCTTCCTATGTGGTACACCTACAAAAATCTTCTATTTAAATAACATGAGTAGAAGAGCATATTGGGCTGGGAGTTAAAAGATCAGGCATAGTACTTTCTGATTTGCTACTCTCCTGTTGCAGAATCATGGACAAGTCACAGAGCTTCAGTTTCTCTATTTGCAAAACAAAAAGTATACTTAGAATATGAGCTCCTTCCAGCTATGGGGGAAACAAACAAACAAACAAACAAACAGAAATCACAGAATCTACACTAGCTAAGCTATTTTCCTGGATCACTTCCAATATCAAGTTCTATCTTCTAGGAAAGACTATCTTAGTTAAGAAATACAGCAAGTCAATCTGTCAAATATCATATGCAGTTCTCATTTAAAAAGAAAAACAGAAGCTTTAACCCAGGAAGCAATTTGGGGATTATCCACAATAAATCTCTTAATAGTCACATTAGCTTTGAAAATAAGCTTTTTCTGACTCACTTCATATTCTGGAAATCTGGAAGAGGGAAGCCATAGAGCAGCTACACCCTAACTAGTTAAAATGATTCTGTATCATTATTTGTTAGTTTGATTTTATAATTCTAGTATCCTTTTGTTTTATCATGAGTACATTTTTGAGGGTCAAGTCATGGATCGATGAAGAAATTATAAGCAATACATTTACACATATGCTTGCATATGAAAAAGAAGAATACCTATGTTGTCATGTATTATAAACTGAAGACAAAAAAAAAAACTAACAATGCAACTAAAATTTTCAATAACACAAGTCATATTAATAATTTAAATAGTTGTAAATTCAATGTTAATAATAAAGTGACACTTAAATTTTCTGGCCTATTTCTCATTTAGACACGAGTATTACAACTCCCTATAGAATGGAAGTCTAGAAAAAAATTATTTTACAACTAAAGTTTAACACTAGCTACATTTGTTTTTCCTTGTAAGATGACAATTTTTAGAGATCTTTGAATAGCTGAGTTCTCAAACACTTGTAAAATGCTTTTAGTTAATTATACACATAGAAACAGTGCTCATCTGTGATGCCATTTATTTTACTTTCAACAAAAGATTGGGAATTTATTTAAATTTATTAAAATTATGAACAACATCCATCCTGTGTGTCAGGTTTGAAAACTAACTTAGAGTAAATGCTCTAAACTCAGATATGAACAGAAAGAAATGGAGGTGATACTCTTACCTACTATCTAAGAAGATACATAATCTATGCATTTTTATCATAAAACCATATGCTATGTATTAACACAGGTACAGTATGTAAAGGATTCCACATTAAAAGGCACATTATTATGAACTGGAATAAACATACAGAACTATACACACCAAGTTGTTTAAGGCCAGCTGTTTTAGGAAAGGCAAGGAAGAAGAAGGGATAAGGGCAAAAAAAGAGGAAGGAAGCTAAAGCAAAACAGAAAAATATTTATAGTATAACTGCTGCAAAAACGTTTCAAGAATACTACCGGCAGATATACATTCAATCTAAGAACATTACCTTGTTTTTTCCAGTGCAGCCATCAATTTTGGTTACTTTGTGGCATTCTTTCATACATGTGTGATTCTGACAATCTAAGATTCTTCCACAAACTCTTTTACAAGAGTAGGGTCCTACAGCATGGCATGGTAGTGGACTCACCTTAAAAAATAAAGGAAATCAGCACAGCACACATTACACAAACGTTTCTGGACATATTACATATTTCCAAAATTACTCTGCTATCATTTGAGAACAAGTTTCAGAAAGGTATAATAAGTTTGCACAGATAATAATATTGATTATCAAAATCAAAGTAACCTATCAAAATATTCCAAAGTAACGAATGCCAAGAAGCAAAACATCCTCCTCCTAAAAGGAAAATTCAATATGATTCTGTAGTGAATGCATATCCACAGGCTAATTCTCAAATAAAGGCACTACATATTTTTTAAATTAGTAAACTCTTGTACTCTTTATAACAGTAAAAAACAATACTTTGACTTTATTATTTCTAACAACTCTAGTAAAGCTATACTATGTAATAGTATAGATTATAAGCTTTACTTTAAAATTGTGCCTATAACTCACCTCATGTTTCCCAAGACATTCCCTACAAGGAAAAAATAAAATAAAATGAAAACATTACAAATTATTCAAAAATAATATCTAAAGATGCTAACTCTACTAGTAGTAAAAAAAATAAACAAAAATGGAATAAGCAATTATAGTAAAGTTACAGGACACAAAGTTAATATGCAAAGGTCAATTGATCTCCTATATAGCAGCAATGAGCAATTAGAATTTGAAGTTAAAAACATAACACTACATTAGCACAACAAATGAAATACTTGGGTATGAATTTAACAAAATATATACAAGACCTCTATGGGAAAACTACAACATACTGATGAAAGAAATCAAAGATTTAAATAAATGAAGAGATATTCCACGTTCACAAAGACTCAAAATTATTAAGAAGTAGTTTATTTCCAATTTGATCCAGATTCAATATGATTCCAATCAAAATACCAGCAAGTTATTTTGTATGTATCAACAAACTGATTCTAATGTCTATATGGAAAGATAACAGACCCAGAACAGCCAACACAATACTGAAGAAAGAAAAGTTGAAAGATTACAGATAGATAGGAAGAACAAGTTCTGGTGTTTTACAGTTATCCCACAGTGCTATAAAACTATTGTTATCTAATGTTAACTATAGTAGCTATTGTTAACTATAGATAACAATAGTTACCTATAACAATGGATATCTATATAGATATCTATAACTATAGTTACAGATAACTATAGTTAACAATAATATATATTTTCAAATAGCTAGAAAAGAGGATACTGAATGTTCCCAAAGCAAAGAAATAATGTCTGAGATAATGGATATGCTAATTGCCCTGATCTGATCACTATATATCACACTATATATCACTATATCACACTGTATGTACTGAAACAGCATTACATTTCCTATAAATATGTATAATTATTATGTATCAATTGAAAATAAAACAGTTAAAATCGAAAACACTGACAATACCATATGTTGGTGAGAATATAGAGCAACAATTCTCACTCATTGTTGTGAGACTGCAAAATGATTCAGACGCTTTAGTAAACAGTTTGACAGCTTCTTACAAAGCTACACAAAGTCTTACCACGTGATCCAGCAATTACACTCCTAAGAATTTACCCAAATGAGCTGAAAACTTATGTCTACACAAAAATCTGCACATAAATGTTTATAGCAGCTTAATTCTTAATTGCCAAAATTGGAAGCAACTAAAATGTTCTTCTATGGTAAATGGATAAACGAACTATGGTACCTTTATGCAATGGATTATTATTCAATGATAAAAATAAATGAGCTATCAATCCATGAGAAGACACAGAGGAACCATAAAACCACACTGCTAAGTGAAGAAGCCAGTCTGAAAATGCTACACACTGTAAAATTCCAACTATATGACATGCCGGAAAAGGGAAAACTATAGAGACAATAAAAAGATATGTGGTTGCTAGGAGTTTGAGATGAGGAAGGGAAAAGAAGGTTGAACAGGTACAGCACAGGGCATTTTTAGGGCAATGAAACTATTGTGTATGAAACTAATAGTAAATATATGACACTATGCATTTGTTAAAACCCACAGAGCCATACAACACAGAAAGTAAACCCTAATGTAATCTATGGACTTTAGCTAATAATAACGTACCAATATTGGTTCCTCAACAGTAAAAATTGTATCACTAATGAAAGTTGGTAATAGAGAAAACTGTGTGGTATGGGGGCCCACATAGGAACTCTGTACTTTCTGTGCAATTTTCTCTGTAAATGTGAACACTTTCTTAAAAAATAAAGTCTATTTAAGAAAACAAACACATCATTTCCCTTTCCAGGGAATGGTTTAAAAATGGTCTAATGAAATGTGAAAAGAGCTCTCCTGTGGAGCTTCGGAGAAGTTTCCTTACCCTTTAAAAAAAAAAAAAAAAGAGAAAGAAAGAGAAGATGATGATGATGACACACAGAAGGCATACACATTTCCAATTCTCCCTTTGGAAACTTTCATGTCTGGGTTGAGAAGTTAACAAAAAAGCAAACAGCCTGAGGTCAAAGACGACACACCAAGGATAACAAAATGGAAAGACAATCTGAGCTTTTGATGATGTGTAATTGAATGAGCCAAATTTACCAACAATAGAGCTGCTCTACTTCCAGTCTAATTATGCTGAGGGATAAATGTTACTGCTCTTTTTAGTTAGGTTTTTCATTTAGATTTTGTCCTTTCTACTGTACAAATCCTGTTATTCCTTTTATTGAATTTCTTAAACAAAATGTTTTTTTCAGGCTATATAAGTAGAACTGAACTGTTTTCTTAATTTCATTTTCTGACTGTTTGTTTCCAGTGTACAGAAATTCCACTGGCTTTGTATAGTGATGTTTTCTACAACAGTAATGAACTCATTAAGTAACTCATATTGTATTTTTGAGGACTCCTTAAGACTTTTCACATACAAGATCATGTCATCTGAAAATGCAAATTGTTCTTCTTTATTCCAAGTAAAAAGACATTTTTAATTTCTTTCTCTAGCCTAATTGCTCTGGCTAAAAATTCTAGTACAATGTTGAAAGAAGTGGCAGGAGCAGGCATCCTAGTCTTGTTCCTGTTACTAGGCAGAAAACTTTCAATCTTTCACCACGATGTATTACGTGAACTGTGTGGGTTTTTCACAGATGTCCTTTATCAGGTTGAGGAAATTATCTTTTTCTTCCACATTTTTTGAGTGTTTTTATCAAGAAAGTTTGTCAGATTCTGTCAAATGCTGTGCTACATCTATCAATTGCCCTTTACTCTGCTGATAAGAATTACATCAACTGTGAGCAGTGGCTTGCTTATGCCTATAATCCTAGCACTCTGGAAGGCCATGGCAGGAGGACTGCTGGAGGCCAGGAGTTTGAGACCAGCCTGGGCAACACAGTGAAACCTCATCTCTACAAAAATTTTAAAAACCAGCTGGATGTGGTGGCTCATGCTTTGGGAGGCCAAGATGGGTGGATCATGAGGTCAGGAGTTCGAGACCCGCCTGACCAACATGGTGAAACTCCATCCGTACTAAAAAATACAAAAATTAGCCATCGTGGTAGCACACACCTGTAATCTCCGCTACTCAGGAGGCTGAGGCAGGAGAATTGCTTGAACCTGGGAGGCAGAGCTTGCAGTGAGCCAAGATCGCACCACTGCACTCCAGCCTGGGCAACAAAGCGAGACTCTGTCTCTAAATAAATAAATAAAATAAAATTTAAAATAAGTAAATAAATAAAACATTAGCTAGATATGGTGGCGCATGCTTGTAGCCCCAATTACTCAGTAGGCTAATGTAGGAGAATCCCTTGTGCCCAGGAGTTTGAAGCTACAGTAAGTCAGGACTGTACTACTGCACTCCAGCCTGGGCTAGAGTGAGACCTAAGAATTATACTGATTGATTTTCTTATGTTAAATCAACCTTATATTTCTGGGATAATTCCATTTGGTCATGGTATATAATCTTTTTACATGGTACTGGATTCAATTTGCTAGTATTTTGTGGAGAATTTTTGCATCTATATTCTTATGTGATATTGGTCTGCAGTTTTTTTTGTAATGTCTTCCTCTGGTTTTAGTATTAGGGAAATACCAGCCTTGTTAAATTAAGTTGGGAAGTGACCCTCCTTAAGTGAAAGGATTGGTGTTAATTCTTCTTTATACTTTTGGTATAATTCACGAGTGAAGCCATCTGGTCCTGGTTTTTCTTGGTGGTAAATTTTTTATTACTAATTCAATCTTTTCAGATTTTCTGTTTCTTCTTGAGTCAGTTTCAGTAGTTTGCTGCTAAGAATTTCTCCATGCTATTAGTAACCAATAGAGAGTTGTAGTGGTTATACTAACATCAGACAAAATTTAAAAATTGTTGCTACACACAAAGGACATTTTATAATGGTAAGGACCTCTGAAAACTCTCTCCTTACTGACATTACTATACCTATCTTGAACCTTGTTATTTTACAAACAAACGGAGAAGGTATATGACTTATTCATAGAAGAAGTTAGTGGGAAGCACAACCCTAAACTCAAGAGCCATTACTCTAAGAGACAATCTGTTTTAATGTTTTAATACACACACACACACACACACACACACACCCACACACACATCTTCCATCAACATATTCCAGTCAAGTAAGAAAGAAAGACCATTGTAAATCTAATTTCATTTTTTAAACCTCTAGTAAACATGACTTAGTAATTCCAGGCAGTTTTTCTACTGTCAAATAATATTTTATCCAAACTGAGATTTCAAGCAAATTAACTGAATTAAATAAGATAGACATATATGTTAAATAATCTTAATATAAAACAGACTAAGGGCCAGGTACGGTAGCTCACACCTGTTATCCTAGCAATCTGGGCGGATCACTTGAGGCCAGGAGTTTGAGACCAGCCTGGGCAACATGGAGAAATCCCAGCTTTACTAAAACTACAAAAATTAGCTGGGCACGGTGTGCACACCTGTAGTCCCAGCTACTCGGGAGGCTGAGGCAGGAGAATCGCTTGAACCTGGAAGAAGGTTGCAGTGAGCCGAGATTGAACCACTGCACTCTAGCCTGGGGTGACAGAGACTCTGTCTCAAAAAAAAAAAAAAAAAAAAACCAGACTAAGGAACTCAATGCTAACTAGGTACGATGTATATGACAACATTTTTGTGTCTATGAATTATAATATCAATGTCTCTTCTGTTTCTCTCAAGGAAAAATTTTAGGCCGCTAATAATTCTAACTTAGTAAGAGATATTAGCAACAACTTGGTTCCTCATGATTATAACTTAAGTCTTCAGTAAAAGAGTAGCCTCAAATAACTGAATACCTACATGAAAAACCTCTCTGCTAACTACACAGCCCTCCTCCATTAAATCTACAGACTAAAATTACCCTATTTGTGCATATATCTACTAATAACACTTTGCCTCCCAACTTGACTGTGTGATCAATATACAAAAATATATATGCTATTTCAAGTGGGAGGAATGTTGTGCAAATGAAAGCTTTTACAATTAAAAAACAAAAACAACCCTCTCTTTAAAAGACCAATACACAAGAAATACCAATGTTTAATCTGGCACCTCAGTTGTAAACAACAGCCCCTTTTCTAATTTTATGTTGCTTCTCAGCATTCTGCGCTTCTTTTTTCCCTATACTCCATAACCTCTGCTGGAAGTATAAAAAATTCCAGGATTCCCTATTACTGTAGGTTCAGCTCTTTATAGCTCAGTCCTAGTCATTCACTGGCCCATACAGGAAACTACTTCCTCTCATTTCCAAGGCTTCCTTTAAATATTCCCCAAGTTTGCCTTAAGTAAAACCTGACTTTCTTCTGTCTTCAGGGAGCTTCCACTCTAGTATGGGAATCATCAGCAAAACTAACAAATGATGTTCCTTGGATTTGTTTTTGTAACTGCATGCACAAGTTGCTATGGAAAGCTAAGAAGGACTTCAAACTCCAACTGGGGCTAAAGACTCAAAAAAAGATATCTATAGGAGGTTTAAAAGCAAGTACGACAAACATGTTTGAAAAGAATGAAGCTTAAGACAGACAGACTAGTTTATAGGTTAGGCCTGAAATAATAATGAACTGAACCAAGAAAAAAGGGAGATTGACTTCAGATACCCTTTAAGCTATGTCAAAAAAAAATTTTTTTTTCTTTTAATTGAAATTCTAATACTTACATAGGAATAGGAACTTGACATGGAGGACATGGTAATGCAGTCTGAATAAATGCTGGCTCAGAAGGCTGTTCCCAAGGGCCTGTAGGCTGGTGCTACAAATAAAATACATAAGAATTTTAAGTCAGAGGGATTAAATCATATGGCCATTTTAAGAATCTAAGAAAATAGTTCCATGTATCCTCTGCTCAAGCAGGTTGAAATTCTTTCAAATAATCAATAAATTGTGCTTACTGAAATATTTCATTTTATCTGTATTAAATGAAATTATTCCCCTCCACATACATTTGATATTAATAACTGAGACAGAATCCAGTTTATAAATGGTAGAACAAAGGCAGTGTAGCCTCCTTTACTTCCAATAAGGAAATGAGAAAAACATCTACCAATTGAATATAACCTCCATTATTTTACTCATTGTTATTCCTCAGCACCTAAAAAAAATGCTTGATACTTAGTTACGGCTCAATATTCATGAGGATGAGCTGGGCATGGTGCCTCACACCTGTAATTCCAGCACTTTGGGAGGCCGAGGCGGGCAGATCACTTGAGGTCAGGAGATCGAGACCAGCCTGATCAAAAAGGTAAAACCCCATCTCTACTAAAAATACAAAAATTAGCTGGACATGGTAGCAGGCACCTACAATCCCAGCTACTCAGAGGCTGAGGCATGAGAATCACTGAACCCGGGAGGTGGAGGTTGCAATGACTGAGATCACACCACTGCACTCCAGCCTGGGCAACAGAGTGAGACTCTGTCTCAATCAATCAATCAATCAATCAATCAATCAATATTAAATAAAATATTAAAAAGTGAACAAATCTTTAAAATAAGGTTATAGGAGGCATCTATAACCCTAAACCACAATATATGAAGGAGGATTGCCAAATTCATCTATATCATGATCATAATGTAACTATCATACTGTATTTGCAAACACTGTTTATTGGTTTCACTCCTTTTCTACACTGTGAGTTGCTTAAAACAAAAAAATCAAGTCTTGATTACCTTGTACCCTGCACCTTGTACCCTGCCCTGCCATTGTGCTTCCTGTAGTTGCTTAAAACAAAAATCAAGTCTTGATTACCTTGTACCCTGCTCCAAAGCACAGTGCTTCCTAACAGTTGCTTAAAACAAAAAAATCAAGTCTTGATTACCTTGTACCCTGCTCCAAGCACAGTGCTTCCCAATAAGCGCTTAATCATTGCTTGTTGAAAAACTAAGTAAAAGCAAGAAAGTACAACCCACAGCAATGCACTATTTCTTTAATAGCATTATTCCCTTACCCTGCCAGTCTGCTTTATTAATGCTTGATCATGACACGGAGCAGGACACAAATGACCACATTTCTCCAAAACTTTTTGGCAAGGTTGATGACATGGTGGACAAGAGCCAAAGTGACAGCGATGTTTTTCTTGACTTGTATGATGACAAGTTGGTGGTCGACTAAATCATAAAGTACAATTTTCAAAAATTACTTTTAATCATTGAATAATTACATCTAAAGGACAATTATCTATTTATGTATCTTCTGATTCCATATAGAATGAGTATACTGTGAATATTAATATTTTAAAACACTAAAGCAAAATTAAATTAAAATATTAAAAGCCAATATGAATTTAAATTTGTACAACATCAGATGGAAGCTTGTACAAAGCTTCAAACTCACCTGCATTGCTCCCTGCACTTGGGTGGTCTTGTGGTACGTTCTCGGCCACAGGGCACTGTCACCTTTGTATTGCCACAGTTACACTTCACATCTACGGTTTCTGGGCAGGGATAGCAACTGCCTGAAAAAAAAAATTCTGATAATTAAAAAGTTTCCTTAAGCACCCAAATGCCTATCAATGGTAAAATACATAAATTTAGTATATTCACACAATGGGATACTCTATAACCAGAATGAAGAAACTACAACAACATGAAGGAATCTTACCATAAAACATTGATTCAGACACAAAGAGTACATAGTGCATGATTCCATTTATATAAAGTAAACAAGAAAAACTAATCCATACTGTTCAAAATCAGAGTAATGGTTATGAAGGATCCAAGTAGGGTGTTGAAAATTCTGGTAATGTTCCGTTTAATTATGTAAGTTTTGGTTACCTGGCTATGTTCAGTTCGTAAAAATTCAACAAGCTGTATACTTTTGACTTGTAACATTTTTCTCTTCTTTTCTTGTAACAGGGTCTCACCCTGTTGCTCAAGCTGAGTGCTGTCACATGATCATGGCTCACTGCAGCCTCAACTTTCTGGGCTCAAGCAATTCTCCCACCTCAGCCTCCCAAGTAGCAGGGACTACAGACACACACCACCATGCCCAGTTAATTTCTGATTATTTATAGAGATGGGAGGGTCTCATTATGTTGCCCAGGCTGGTCTTGAACTCCTGGACTCAAGCAATCTTCCCACCTCAGCTTCCCAAATGGTGGGATTATAGCTGTGAGCCACTGCACCCAGTCCCTGATTTATAACACTTTTCTCTCTGTACCCACTGGTATCTCAATAAAGTTTTAGACATTTCTCTAAAATTTGCTAAAACTTCTGTTCTAAACAACAAATTTAACATATTATTCATTCAAAACTAAAACAAGCAAAAATGGATATAAGTCTTTGGAAAATTTAACATTAACAATAATATCGTTGGCCTATTTTCATACATCTATCCAAGTACACAATTTTTAGACGAATTCCCAGTAACTTCTCTCTCATGACCTGATATGGGTTAGTAGCAAGTACAGTCCATTTTCCATTAACTGTACTTTGTGAAAGACTAAGTACTAAGGCACCATTTTAGGCTATAATCCCAAATATATCTCTTCTAAACATAAAAAAAAAAAAAATGTTATTTTGGTTTCAGCTTTTTACGCTCTTTTATTATGGGTTGGCAGAAATATAAAAAAACAAAATCAAAGAAATCTTTAAAGCAGGTTATAAAGTTCTCTCCAAGAGGTTCTATTATCATCTTAAGAGCTTTCTTCCACTCTAGTTTTCTCCGTAAGGAACTCTATTAGAAATGAAATAATGAAGGAAGAAGAGTTTTCAACAAAGAAATGAATATCTTAAAGAGACTGTTGCTTAGGTGTCAGGACCAAGCAAAACACGGACCAGGAGTTAACCTGATAAAAAAAGATTAAAGATGGACAATATCCTGGCTTAAGTACCTCTAGAAGTTCAAAATGGTTCCCTAAAACAAATACAAATTAAGAATTATAATTCAAATAATGAACATAGAAAAAGAGAAAATTAGAGGTAAAACATCATAGGGTCAAACATAACATTTATTATACAAAATACCCAATGTGTTTTACACATATATTCTTGATGTTAATGCAAGTCAATTATCCTAACCCACATAATCAAGTTTTATTTTTATTTTACCCAAAGAATGACTACAAGTTGTATTTTTAAAGTTGATAGTAATATTTAAGTCAGCTCTCATTCAGCATATTATATCAGTTTCTATACTTAACAATGACAATTTTTCGTTCATCTTCAGCAGAGGAACTTATCAAACATAACCTTTTTGCTATTCTATCAACAGTATCACGTTTTTTAAAATTATATTTTGAGAATAAGGGATAATTTCTCTAAACAGTCTCCCTACTGACCAACAGAATTCATTATAGATACCTATAAAGCATAACATATTTTAATTAAAATAGCTTCCATGATAATACTTTCAAAATGAAAAAGTAGTATACGGAGACTATAACTACACTGTCCAATACCAGTTAACAGCCAAAATAGGTATGATTTGGGTAGTTCTAAAACTATAAACACAGATGATCCAGAACTTAAAAAAAAAAACTATAAATCGGTCGGGGGCTGCAGCTCATGCCTGTAATCCCAGCACGTTGGGAGGCTGAGGCAGACAGATTACGAGATCAGGAGATCGAAACATCCTAGCCAACATGGTGAAATCCCGGCTCTACTAAAAATACAAAAATTAGCTGGACGTGGTGGCGAATGCCTGTGATCCCAGCTGCTCGGGAGGCTGAGGCAGGAGAATCACTTGAACTGGGGAGTCAGAGGTTGCAGTGAGGGGATCACACCACTGCACTCCAGCCTGGTGACAGAGAGAGACTCCGTCTCAAAAAAAAAAAAAAAAAAAAAGAAAACTATAAATCAAATTTTCATATACCCGCAACACAAGCATACAGTTAGTACATTCCCCCTATAAATTACTGTATAATTCTGCTTACGAAGGATTCTAGAATGATGGAAAAATAGTACGATACTATGATTCCACATTCTTTTAAAACTGTAGATGAAACAAATGTTGAGAGTTGCACAACAGCATCTTCCATATACTTTCCATCAGGGAAAATTTTGTTGTGACTAATAAGCTTTTTTAAGGGTTAATAAAAATCTAAAAAAACAACAACAATGACAAAAAAAACACCACTCTACCAAAAAACATCAAAACTTGAATCTGATCAAACCTCTAGATCCAATTAACAGGTTACAGAAAATACAGAAGACAGAGGAACATGTTAAATAATACCACAGAGATGCAATCTGCAAAACCCAGGCTCTGAGAAACTAAATAAAGCAACCTAGTTTCTTCAACAAATAAGTCACAAGGGAAAAAAGGAGATAGAGGATGGAAATTATAAATTAAAAGACTTTTGAAACAAAACCAATTACAATGTCAATTTTATTAGGTTTTAAAGTCCATAAACTGACGTAAAAAATGAAGTTACTTATGAGACAACAACAAGTTTGAACACCAGATATTTGCTGATATGAAGAAATATATTAACTATGTTTAGGTTAAGAATCCATCTTTTAGAGATTAATACTGAAATATTTGTGGGCTTTGCTTCACAAAAATATGAGAGAAGGAAATGCTTCCAACACTTTTCCAGTAAGTATGATATTTATATTTGCTCTAAACTTTGCAGATACTCTTTATCAGGTTAAGGATATGTCTATTTCCAATTAAATTTTTATCTTATATAAATGTTGGATGCTTATCAAGATGATCTCATTCCTCCTTTGATCTTGTAATGTGGTAAATAACAAAACAGTAGATTTACTACTGCTAAACCAGTTACAGAGATGTAGTTTGCAAAAATCTGCAAAAACTCAATGGGTCAGTGATGTAATGACTATAAAAGAAAATAAAATCTTTCTAGTGTTGGTGAGAAATACCTGAAAAACTGTTTCTAAACTTCACTGACAAATCAAAGAACACCTACAGAAAATGTCTACAGGGTAATAGAATCTGACACTTTTCCTAATGGGGAAGGAATGTAATATAATGGAAATATCATAAACACTGGGTTCACATCCTGACTCTGTGACTAGTTCTATTCACCTTGGGCCAATAGTCTCCTGGCCTGTTCCACATATAAAATAAAAATAGTTCCATATATGATGCAGGATTTCTGAAAGGATTGGGAGATCAACCGAGAAACAGTTTAGTAGTTTGTTCTAGGTATTAAACAACTAACTGGCAGAGTCTAGGCTTAAATCCAGGATTTCTTACTCTAAGTTCATGATCTTTCTAATACTCTATACCATATCTCAGTAGATTCCATTTCATATCAACATAATCCAAATGAGTGAAGTTAACTCAGTTTTCAATGTCTAGTAATAACTTAGAACGTAATTCTCAAAGTATAGTCCAGGAACCCTAGCGGTTCTTGAGACCCTTTCAGGAGGTCTGCAAGGTCTTATATGCATAGAGTTTTCCAGAAGCTAGTGACAAGTGATATCCACAGCAGATTGAATGTAGAATGAATATATGTGAATCCAGCTATTTTCTGTTAAGCTAGACATTAAAGACATTTGTAAGAATGTAAAATTTTCCACTTTTTTCAGATAATAGTTATTTTTCATAAAAGTACATTACTTGTATTAAGATATAATGGGATTAATATTGCTATTTTTAAAAAAATAAATATTATTACATTTTATTTTAATTTCAAATACAATAAATGTCAATGAATAAAACTCACATTTGTAACAAAAGGCCTTTGGGGACCAAAGAGTGTAAAGGGGTCATGAGATCAAAATGTTTAAAAATCACCAGCTTAGGACATACCTAATCCTTCACTAGATTTAACTCCAAATAAGTACATAAAATTCAGAATAAATAAGGTGTTCAAAATGCTAAGAATACCTTCATTGATTAAAAAATTGTGTGGGGAAAGTTAGGAAGTAGGAAAACAACATGGTGTTATAGAAAGGACAATACTTTTATATACAGAAATCCTGGGTTCAAATGTACTAGACATTTCCCTGAGTAAGTCACTGAACCCTCTTAAGTTTCAACCTCTTTGCCTATAAAATAGGGACACTGGCAAACTGTCTTACCTTATTCTCAAGGTTAAGAGAGTCAAGTGAGATACACGATGACTATAAAACACTATCTCAATACATTATATTGAATATTGACAATAAAAAAAAAACCACTATATCAATACAAGCATAAAATCATAGCTATTGTTAAAGTTTACCTCTGTGACAGACAGATGGACACTTATGATTTCTACATCCTAAAGTCCGTCCACAGTTTTGATCACAAGGTGGACAGTTTCCAGGGCAACACTGAAGAGAAAGCAACATATAAAGAACAGGTAATTCAAAAACCCATTAATAATAGGCATGTCATTACTAGTTACAGAACTTATAGAAAGCAAAAGATATACTTTTCACTAAAAGAAGTGCTCAAGAATATCAACATTCTTCTGGTAAGTAAACATACTTCACTAAGAATTTATGATGACCTAATTTAACAAATCAAGCTAAATTTTCTTGACCTTCAGTTAATCATTCTATGATTCAAAACATTTCCATCAGATAATTTCATTCCTTTATCTATGCAGAGACTAACAATATTAACCAAAGGAATGTCAATACAGGAAAACAGTCTGGCTTTTTAAAAAATTTAATTAAAATCAATTCAATGTACAGATTCATTTGGCAGTTATTTATTTTCTTTTTCTTTTTTCTTGAGACAGGGTCTGGCTCTGTTGCCCAGGTTAGAGTGTAATGGCACAGTCCTGACTGACTGCAACCTCCACCTCCCAGGCTCAAGCCATCCTCACACCTCAGCCTCCTGAGTACCTAGTTCCACATGCTCTCCCCAACACACCCGGGTAGTTTTTGTATTTTTGGTAGAGAAGGAGTTTTGCCATGTTGCCCAGGCTGCTCTCAAACTCCTGAGCTCAAGCGACCTGCCCGCCTTGGCCTGCCAAAGTACTGGGATTATAGGCATAAGCCACTGTTCCTGGCTTCGTTTGACAGTTATTTTCAAACCATAGAATAAGAGACTAAAGAAGAGAAGCAGAGATAGGCTACTTGCATCCAGCTTTCTTTGTCACTTCCCTGGTTTCACAGACACTTCCGTGTGTGAGAAATATAGCTAGCTATGACCTGTCCTAATTTTTCAATCATGGACACCAGTCAACTACTTCAAGTCTATATTGCCATCTTAACTCTTTCCTTAACTTCTTACTTACCTAACTTTGGAAAGGAAATACAGAATACAATTGTCTTAAACTTAGGGTTGTATAGTTGCAGTATATAAAAATAGCTAAAAACAAAATGTACATTATTAAAAAGCAATTAAGTCAATATAGTTTATTCTCAAAAATTAGCCAGGCATGGTGGTACATGCCTGTAGTCCCAGCTACTCAGGGAGGCTGAGGCAGGAGAATTGCTTGAACATGGGAGGCGGAGGTTGCAGTGAGCCAAGATCACACCACTGCACTCTAGCCTGGACGACAGAGCAAGACTCCGTCTCAAAAAAAAAAAAAAAGGCAATACAGTGTATTCAATTAGATAAATGTTTATTGAGTAATACTATGTGCCTATCCTATCACTTTGCCGGAGGGGGAAAAGGTTATGTGGTCCATGACTTGAATAAGCCAATAGACACCTCTGTTTCAAGTTACGATGGAGTAACAACTACCAGATTTACACTCCTGTCTCAAACAACCAGCAAACCAGATAAAAGATATGAAGCTACAGTTTTCAGACATTAGATAATGAGGTAGCACAGATGGCAGTCCCTAACAGAAGGGAAACAAAGTAGGTAAGGCCTGCAGTGCCATCAGCTTACACATGAAGACTTCTGGCTATAGCACAAGGAAGAAGATCATAAGCAGAATCTGGCTGTCTTACAAAGTTGAGTAGACAACACTCGTAATTCAGAGAGGCCAGTGTGGCTAGAATTTGTGGAGAGAAGGCAGCAGCATAGAAAAAGCTCTGAAGAACTCCAGAAAGAACTCCTTGGGTCTTTGGCTGAGTACTGGTCTGTATGTGTGTGAGAGGAAACAACCCAAAAGCTGAACCACTGGAAAGAGAAGGCAGAATAATTTCAAGAGATCACACAAGGCTGGGAAAAACTCTGTGTTCCTTACAGCCAGAGTGGAAGGATCTTCTAATACCTGGGCACCAAGTAGAGTACTTAGAATACTTATTGCCTCAGTAATGGGGCAAAATTAGCCTTAAACAAAAGAGTGTTCTGGTCACACTTAAAAATATCAAGCCTCTGAAAGAACAAAGAATTTTTGAGTAACTTAACTTTGTCCCAGAATAAGGCTTAAAAATATTTAAAGAAATACAAATAAACAAACAAAAAGAACCAGCACCCAAAATGTAAAGTTCATATCTAGAAACAATCAAAAATCATCTAGCAGACAAAGAAGAAGGAAAATACAATCCCAAAAAAGCGGAAAAATCAATAAACAGAAACAGACTCAGAAATGAAAGATGACAGAAATAGTACACAAGGATATTAAAGCAGACATTACAAATATAACCTATCTAACATTCAAGTAGATAGAGGAAGCATGAACATGCTAAGGAGAAACACGGAAGATCTAAAAAAGACCCAAATCCAACTTCTAGAGATGAAAATACACTTCTCAGATGAAAAACACAGGATGGGATAAAAAGCAGATTAGACAATGCAGAAGAAAATTAGCGATGTTGAAGACAAAACTATATAAACTAAAACAGAAACAGACTGAAAAATAAACATAGTATCAGTGAACTTAGAAATTCAAGCAGCATATAATATACATGTCCTCAAAGTCTCAGGAGGTGATGGGTACGGGAAAACAGAAAAAAAAAATCTGAAGAAATAAAGACCAAAAATTTCACAAATATAATAAAAACTATAAATCTACAGATCTAAGCAGCTCAATGAAAACTAAGTTAAGAAACATAAAGAACACTACACCAAGGAACACCAGAAACAAACTGCTGAAAACGTGATAAAGAGAAAGATCTTAATAACCAGCCAGAAAAAAAGAGAAACAATCAGTATAGAGGAACAAATATAACAATCACAGCATACTACTTATTGAAAAAAATGCAAGCTAAAAGATAGTAGAGCAATACCTTTAAAGTATAGGGGTTAAAAACTGCCAAACTAGAGCTCTAAAGTAAAAATATTTTTCACAAAGACTAAAGAAAGTTATATTCAGACATACAAAGTTGAAAGAATTCATGGCCAGCACTATTAGAAATGTTAAAGGAAATCCTTCAGAATAGAAAAAAAATGAAATGTGATAGAAATGTGAATCTGTACAAAAAGATGAAAAGCACCAAAAGTATGATGATAAATATCAAAAATTACTTTTTCTTATTTTTTCAAGCTCTTTAAAAGATAACTGATTATTTAAAGCAAAAGTAAAGACAATGTATTTGGGGTTTATAAAATACACAAATATAAAATATACGAAAATCATACATTTCAGTGATTAGAAAGAGTCAGTGATCAGAAATATCAAGCTGAGAGGACAATGCACAGGACAAGAAACTTCTCATTTGAAAAAAATTGGTACAATTCCCACTAGTACAAAAATTATCTAGATTAAGGTTAATCTAGAATATTTATTAATATATTAAAACAAAGCATATGCCTGAACATTTGAGAAAGAGTTCAAGACAGCACTTATTGCGGGTCCAAAATGGAGAAATTCAATACAGTCTTTAAATCAGAGGTTTCCAAGGTTAATACACAAACCTTTCTTCTACATTGATGCTTCTGACAGTCACGCATCTTAACACACTTAGTTTCACACAGATAAGGTTTATGACAAGGCATTCGTTTCGTATGCTTTCCACAGCGACAATGCTTTTCCACTTCCTGGAAGAATAAAATAAATGCTATTAAAATTGATTTTTGTTAATATTTTTTCCTCACATTGCACCTTTTACAATTATTAAAACATAAAGAACAAAAATTTTAACACTAAATTTGTATAACAAACTTTACCAAAAACCAATTTGAATTTCCTAAAACATTTACTTATATCTTACTTTGCTCCAAAAAGGACTTCATATAAATTCGTTATTAAATTTAGAAAACTGATATTAAATAGTAAAAAAAAAAAAAAAAAAAAAACCCCACATAAAAAAACCACTTCCATTTCATTACAACCATAACATCTGCAACTCTTGTCTCAGTAAAGCCAAAACAACTAAATTACCTAGTAAGCTAACTTGTGGACTTGGTACTCTGGTCAAAACCAAAATGACATATACAACTTTAAAGTCTCAAGTCTAGACCTCTACTGAAGTCTTGAACACTCGAAGTCATCCATGAGGGCTGGGATCAACTTCTTATGAACTCCAGTTAACATTGATATTTTGACCTACTCTTGTTATAATGAATATTCTGAATGGCATCTAAAATGAGGAATCCTTTCCAGAAGGTTTTCAATTTACGTCGCCAAGATTCATCAGAGGAATCACTATCTATGGCAGCTATAGCCTTAGGAAATGTATTTCTTAAAAAATAGAACTTGAAAGTCAAAATTATTCCTTGATCCATGGGCTGCAGAATGGATATTGTGTTAGCAGACATGGCATAAAAGCATTCATCTCTTTATACACCTCAATCGGAGCTCGTGGGTGACCAGGTGCATTGTCAATGAGCAGTAATATTTTGAAAAGAAAATTTCCTGATCAGTCAGTCTCAAGAGTGGGCTTATAACCATGCCATAAAGCTGTGCTGTCAATAGATGTGCTGTCATCTAGGCTTTGTTGTTCCATTTACAGAGCATAAGCAGACTAGGTTCAGCAAAATTCATAAGACCCCTATAATCTTTGAAATAGTAAATGAGCATTGGCTTCAATTATGAGCTACACTAATGAGCTACATTATCAATTAATGAGCAATTAAGGAGCTACATTAGCCCTTAAGAAGAAAGTCAGCCTATTCTTTGACGCTTTGAAGCTTTAACTGTGAAAGTCCTATATGGTATCTTCTTCCAGTAGAAGGCTATTTCATCTCAGTTGAAAATTTTTTCTTTAATGTAGCCACCTTCATCAATTACCTTAGCTAGATCATCTGGATAACCTGACAGCTTCTACATCAACACTTGCTGCTTCACCTTGCACCTTTATATTATGAACAGGGCTTCTTTCCTTAAACCTCATGAACCAACCTCTGCTAGTTTCAAACTTTTCTTGTGCACCTTCCTCACCTCTCTCAGCCTTCACAGAATTGAAGTTAGGGCCTTGCTTTGGAGTAGGCTTTGGCTTAAGGTAATATTATAGTTACTTTGATCTTCTTTGTAGACCTCTAAATCTTCCTCCTTATCATCAATAAGGCTGTTTCACTTTCTTATCATTCCTGTATTCACTGCAGTAGCAATTTTAATTTCCTTCAAGAACATTTCCTTTGCATTCACAACATGGCTAATTGATGCAAGAGACCTTTCAGCCTATTTCAGCTTTCAACTTGCCTCCCTCACTAGCTTAACCATCTCTAGCTTTTGATTTAAATGAGAAATGTGCGACTCTTCCTTTCACTTGAACATTTACAAAAGCCACTGTAGGGTTATTAATTGGCCTAATTTCAATATTGTTGTCTCTCAGGGAATAGGAAGGCCCAAGGAGAGGGAAAGAGAATGGGGAATGACTGGTCAGTAGAGCAGTCAGAACACACACACAACATTTAACCATTAAATTCACTGTCTAATATGGGCATGGTTTGCAGCACCCCCAAACAATCACAATAGTAACATCAAAGATCACTGACCACAGGCTATCATATCAGATATAATGACAATGAAAAAGTCTGAAATAGTGCAAGAATTACCAAATATGACACAGAGACATGAGCACATACTGGTGGAAAAATGGAGCTGAAAGACTTGTTTTACAAAGGCTTACCATAAATCTTCAATTTATTAAAAACACAGTATTGGCAAGGCACAATAAAGTGAAATGCAATAAAACATGGTATGCCTGTACTCTCCTGCTTCTTACCCTAATATTAGGTCACTAAATTCATATAGATCATGACACAGATGTATATGAAAATAAGTAATAGAAAACAACCACAGGACAATCTCATTTGATATATTATGATAGGTAGTTCTTAAAAGTAATTATTACACAAGATGACTAACCTGTCTACATGTTTCACAGGGACCTCGGTGACAACGCTGTGAACATCTATGAATTCCACATTCAAGTACTTTGTCACAACTGTCTCCACAAGTTGGTACATCTTCTGTACAAGGCAAAGAAAATCCTAAAAACAGACAAAAAGTCAATGTTAATAATAAGATACATTATTATTAAATATCAGCAAAATGCTATGTTCTTCAGGCTCCCTAAGGAATGCTGGCACTTTCAGACTATAAATTTTTGTATCCACATAATCATTGGGAAAAATTAACTTTAATGAAAATAATCCCTAATATTTGTTAAGCTTATGGTTTTTAAAAAGAAATTTGACACGTTACCATCCTCAAGAAACACATTTTTATGGGCTATCTCCTTCAGAAATAGTTATCTAAAGAAATGAGTGAAGACTACATAAATCACTCATGAATTTTCCTAATTTAAAAATTTGTTTTAAAAAATTTGCTCTGAACTACCCCACAAAGACAAAAAGAAAGATGTAGACTTTAAAACACTATAAAACTCAGGACAGGTGCAGTGGCTCACACTTATAATCCTAGCACTTTGGGAGGCCGAGACAGGAGGATTACTTGAGGCCAGGAGTTCGCGGTCAACCTGGGTAACACAGGAAGAGACTATCTCTACAAAAATTTTTTACAATGAGCCAGCCATGGTGGCAGGTGCCTGTATTCCCAGCTACTGAGAAGGCTAAGGCAGGAGGATCACTTGAGCCCAGGAGTCTGAGACTGCAGTGAGCTAGAATCACACCACTGCACTCCAGCCTGGGCAACAGAATGAAACCACCTCTCTTAAAAAACTGCAACAAGTACAAAATTATAAAACTCACCTTTAACATAAACATATTGTGACAAGTATTAGAAGCAGTCTTATACATATGATGCTGTTATTTGTGGGGAGTCAAAGAAGCTGACTCAAAGTGCTATCCTACTATGCCTTTACCTCAAAGCAGCCTAAAATAAACTCACCGATAACCTATTACATAATAATGACCATAGCACAGCTATTATAGCACTGCTATTATCAAACCCCACCAGAGTGGTACATTTGTTATAAATGATGTACTTACATTGACACATCATAATCACCCAAAGCTCATAGTTTATATAAGGGTTCACTCATGGTGTTGTATATTTTATACGTTTGGACAAATGTATAACAACATATATTCACCATTACAGTATCACACGGAGGAGTTTCCCTACCCTGAAAATCTTCTATGTCTCTCCTATTCATCTCTCTCTCTCTCCCCAACCCCTGGAAGCCATTGATCACCACAGTTTGGACCTTTCCAGAATGTCATAGTTGGAGGCTTAAATTTTGTAGCTTTTTCAGACTGGCTTCTTTCATTTAGTAATATGCACTTAAGTTTCCTGGAGCACGTCTTTTGAATGTCTTTTCATGGCTTGATAGCTCATTTCCTATATATAAAAAAAATAAATCTTACTTGATTTCTGACATGGACAGAACCTTTTCCCAGATCGAGGACATTCTCCACAAGCACCAACATGGCAAACTTGCTCACATGTGTGATTACCACATGGCAGTGTTTTTCCACATACCTAAAATAAAATGCAATAAACACTAATGATTTAAAAGTTAACAAAAACGACTTCATAAAGACACAATCTATATTTCAATCACAAATAAACAACTGCTTATGTCCCTCATATTATTTTACTTTATATTTTATACAGGTGTCATACATATGTGTATATATAGGTACATATATACATAGGTATTATATAGGTACATATACATATATATAGGTACATATATACATACGTTTACACACACATATATTTCCTATGCACCAAAAAGTATATTTTAAAAATGCAATACAGAAAAAAACTACATGCAGCTTCATATGGCCTTTCACCAAGGAGTTCTAAGTGGCACTAAAACCATGCCAATTCTAGGACAAGCAACCTATAAAACCAATCTTACTTCCTCAATTTGATTAATTCAAGAAGCAGAGAGGGGTGCTGGTTGAAGAGAGGGGAAAGAGAAGAAGGGGACAAGAGCTAGCAAGAAAGAGTACAAATGTAGTGAATCCAAAATTCAACAAATACCTATTACTTCGAAAAAAATTTTTCCTCCAATAATTAAAAATGATATTAAATTTAAGAGTAGTTTCTTAAAACATGATATAATTCACCTGAGTTGCTATTCTTCCTTGCCTTTTATCCAACTAAACCTGATTAGCCTTGCTGCTTTCTAGGTTGTCTATGCTTTGTGTATTCTTTAATACCCACCCCTCGAAATGCACATAAACTTACTTGATCACAGTGCCATAGTGGACTTGCACAACTTCTTTCAGCTACTTTTTTGCCACAGACACACTTTTGTCTACTAACTCTTGGACAAGGTTGACAGCTTCCTAAAACCACAACGATAAATTAGCACAGAAATTGACTTCTGCTTAGTCAGAAAAATCTAATGGGTATGGCCTTTTACCTGCATGACAAGGATTTTCACACTTATGTTGCCCACAAAGCAACTTCCGTCCACATGGCAGCTGACAAGACCATTCCTTAGCACTGCACCTACGAGGGATAGGTTTTGCTTTCTTACAGTAACAAGTAGTTGTGACCATCTTTGGACAAGGAGGGCAGGGACCTAGAATTCAGTAAAAGCAAAAAAAAAAAAAAAAAAAAAAAATCTAAAGTCAGAAACTAAAACTTTCAATTTCTACACCTATCAATAATTTCTAGAACTTTCTTTACTGATACTTGACAAAAGGCAATAACTTTCAATATTTTCTCATGGCAAACTTCAATTGTGAATTCAACAATTTTTTTTTTTTTTTTTTTTTTTGCCTCAACATAAGAAGAAATAATCACCCACAAACAATTAAAAATGCAATATATAACTCACCTGGATGACAGAGGAGTAAACATTTATGGCCACAAGAAGGTTTAAATTCACGCTCACATACTTGGCCGCATGAATGAGGCACAAGCCACGGATCTAAAGGTGGATCTTCCACTTTTCCACAATAGCAATAGTACCTACTAGGTGTTTCAGATCGTTTGTACTCAAACCTACATTTTGGACTACAAAGAAGAATAAATTATTAAAGCTAACTTCGCCTTTAAAAGCAACATGAGAGACAGAAATATAAATAAACTTAGTAACAGAGTATATTCTGTTAAATTAGTTTTATGTTAAGGAACTCTGCTCCATCTTTGTGTTAGTAAAAAAAACAAGATCTTATTAAAATCTATTTCAACCATATAGAACAGCACTGCACAATATAATGTGCTGAGATGATGAAACAGTTTTATACCGGGATCGTCCAATACAGTAGCAATTAGCCACATACTGTGAGCACTTGAAACGTGGCTAGTGCTTACAACTAAGGAAGGAATCAAATTTCTTATTTTATAATTTCTGAATATTGAAATAGCTACATGTGGCCAGTTACCATGAATTAAACAGCACATATCTAGAATACAGCTACAAAAAGAAAGTAACATTAGTTTTCTCCTACCTGAACTTTATTCTTTTTTTTTTTTTTAATTATTATACTTTAAGTTCTAGGGTACATGTGCATAACGTGCAGGGTTGTTACATATGTATACTTGTGCCATGTTGGTGTGCTGTACCCATCAACTCGTCAGCACCCATCAACTCGTCATTTACATCAGGTATAACTCCCAATGCAATCCCTCCCCCCTCCCCCCTCCCCCCTCCCCGTGATAGGCCCCGGTGTGTGATGTTCCCCTTCCCGAGTCCAAGTGATCTCATTGAACTTTATTCTTGAGAAATTCACTCTGCTTTTCATAAAGCTCAACTTTTTAAGTTTTGTTTTGTGGATTACAAATAAACAAAATATATTAGCAACAGCAAACAGAAGACAGAAGTCAGGTTATAGACAAGCAATACTACAAGAAACATGACTACAATTTAGAATTAAGGGGAAATAAACTTGAAAATAAAGAATTTCATAATTCACAACATCTAGCACAAAAAAATATAATTCTTTTTTTTTTTTCTTTTTTGAGACAGAGTCTCACTCTGTCACCCAGGCTGGAGTATAGTGGCGCAATCTCGTCTCACTGCAACCTCTGCCTCCTAGGTACAAAAAATTCTTGTGCCTCAGTGTCCCAAGTAGCTGGGACTACAGGTGCGTGCCACTACGCCCAGCTAATTTTTTGTATTTTTAGTAGATTCGGGGTTTTTGCCATGTTGGCCAGGAGTTGAATCTCCTGACCCCAAGTGATTCACCAGCCTTGGCCTCCCAAAGTGCTGGGATTACAGGCATGAGCCACTGTGCCCAGCCCAAAAAAAGATATAATTTGAATGTGCCTAAGTCAAAGAAAAGTTCAAGTACCATGAAAGGCTTTAAACTTCCATCATTAAAATAAATAAATTTGGTAGTAGAAGTGTTAACCTTCAGCTCTATCAGAAATGTACTTGTAGATCACCATAGATGATTTCGTTCTCAAAAGACGCTTTAACCTTATCTCCCAGACAAATGAGCATAGTTAGTACATTACACGAGAACAAGTTTCATATTAACATTTAAATTTCTTTTGTATCATATACAAAATATTTTCATTGTCATAAGAATATGTTCCGTTTCTAAATAAATGCCACACAAATATTCAAAATAACGAAAAGATATTTGTTCTTGTAATGAAAAATCAAAAACAAAATACTAAGTTCATCTGTCTCTGGAATAAATAACTGGCACTTTATTGGAAGACTTCAATTTTTTTTTATTGAAAGTGTTTACTATTCCTTTAAGCTAGTGTGGAGGGGGATATGTATTTTTAATAAGCGTGGGTATGGATGACTAACAGGCAACTCAACATACCTTAACACTGCCCATCAGCACTGAAACTGAACTGGCCCAGTGAGGGTAATATATGCAAATGTATGAGTTTTATTTTAAAATGGGATGACAACAATGAAATGTAATTATGCTAGATCTTATTCATTAAAAAGTAGTATCTTAGTAGAAACCTGTATTTTAAATTTTTTATTTCCATAAAATAACTTAAAATTATTAACATTTTACCATGTTCTAGCTCCATCTTGATGAGGATTAAACAAAATGGGTTCTTAACCAGAACGGTCATTTATTTTCTTAAAAAAATATGAAATATGGAACACAAAGTTATGGCACAGCTGATTAAACTGTTGTTCCTTTTAAATTAGAAGTAACAGTACATTTTTTTTTAATTGATCCTTTCCTCCTCTATGGCAAAATGACTTAAAACAGAAGTGAGAAGAGTGAGGGTAATAAAATATATACATAAGGTTTAAATCTCTAAACTAACAAGCTGGAACACCTGGCTTAATTCCATACCTATTAAACACTAAAAGTCCTCCACCACAAGTAAATAATATGCAGGAGCAAAACATATATACTTTGAAATGTTTGAAACAGTTTTCAAAAAGTGTGCATTCAATGAAAAGAAAAATAACATTTCTAAAAGCAAGGTCAAAAGACATAACTCAGATGAAAGAATAGCAAAAGCACTGAATTTAAGAGTAAGAAATCCTAGGTTTCAAATTTTGGCTCTACTACTTAAGAGTGAGGAGCGTGAAATCATCTCCCTTCAATTAACTTCAATATCCCCATTGGTAACAGGAAAATAAAATCTCTCACAGATTGCTGAGAATTATTTTTATATACTCTTCTAAAAGTCACCAGCATGTCTAAATGTTTTTTAAAAACTACACCACTGGCCAGATGCGGTGACTCACGCCTGTAATCTGAACACTTTGAGGGGCCAAGGTGCGTAGATCACATGAGGCCAGAAGTTCAAGACGAGCCTGGCCAACATGGTGAAACCCCATCTCTACTAAAAATACAAAACTTAGCCGGACATGGTGGCGGGCACCTGTAATCCCACCTACTCTGGAGGCTGAGATAGGAGAATCGCTTGAACCGTACAGGCAGTGGCTGCAGTGAGCCGAGATCACACCACTATACTCCAGTCTGGGCAACACAGCAAAGCTGTCTCAAAAAAATAAAAATTTAAATTAAAAAAAAAAAAAACTCAAAATTTTAAACATAAAATTAGTTACTAAAGTTACAAAATGTGACCACACAGAGCCCCTGAAGCTTATGCTTCATTACTTTGACAGTCAATCTACCTCTCTGGACAGCCAACATGAGTAAGTTTCTTGTTGTCTTTACTTAGCAGAGATATAAAATTCGACTCTTCAACTCTTTCTGGAAATATAACAAAAGTTCTCAAGACCAAATAATCATCAATAATAAGCAAAACTAATAAATGTAAAAAAATAATGATATTGTATAATATACACCTGCAGTTTTGAGATTTGGGAGGATAAAACTGGGAATCTTATAATCAAAATACATTAAATGATAGTCTTGTACAATGTAATAATAATGCATCCTCATAGAATTCTGGACAAGAAGATCACAATTATGAATGATTCTCAGTCCTACAGAAAACTGAAAGTCCTTTCAAAGGATAATTAAGGAACTGTTTTGCAGAGGAAAAATTAAGTCTGGATGATTTATTAGTTATACAAATTCAAATTGAAAAAAACCAGCCTTTATCAAGGTTCCATATATTCACACACCAAATGACTAATTAAAGGCCCAACATGGATACTGAAACCAAAAATAAAGCAACGTAGAATCTACAATTTTCATTTATTCTACAAATTTAATAATCCAACTAGGCCAGGCGCAGTGGCATGCCAGCCTAGTTGGCACTTTGGGATTTTTTGGGATGGGTCACCTGAGGTCAGAAGTTCAAGACCAGCCTGGCAGACACGGTAAAACCCCGTCTCTACTAAAAATACAAAAAATTAGCCAGGCGTAGTGACGGGTGCCTATAATCCCAGCTACTCAGGAGGCTGAGACAGGAGAATCTCTTGAACCCAGGAGGTGGAGGTTGCAGTGAGCCAAGATCACCATTGCACTCCAGCCTGTGTGACAAGAGTAAAACTCCATCTGAAAATAATAATAATAATCCAACTAACTAGAAAAAGTTACCAAGGCCAGGGATAATCTCTCTTTCCAAAATCATCATCAGTCACAGAAGATACAAGAAACTCGCTGTCTTTAGCCCACTTCTGGATACAGGGCATGTGAAATATACAGAAACATCCCGAACAGCTCCAAACCTAAGATAAAGGTATCAGAAGTTAATATATGTTAATTTTTCTTTGTTAATTGTAAAATAATTTAAAATGAGTATCACACTAAACTATTTTCAAGAGCTACCTAAGGATTAAAGAAAAAAGGTCTTTCCTTCCAGTATAACAGAACTGTTTCATGGGAAATGCATTTAAAGTAGAATATGTTAAAGAAAATTATTATTAATCACACAGATTCATTCAGCTAGAAATAATTACTGCTAACATTCTGGACAGTCTCCAAATTTATATATATATTTTTTTCATACTTTTAAAAAATAAGGTCATACTATAATAACTGAGATGTAATTTTATAGTCTTTCTTATAAGCATATTTATAACTATACATTACATCATGTAGACTTAGGTACTTAAATTTCTTGTTGGATGGTTATTTCCAAGTATAAATAATACTATGAAAGAATCCTTAAACATAAATATGCACATATATATCTACATAGCCCTTTTGTTACATAAAACCTGTTAGTCTAACACCTAACTAATGCTAAATTTTAAAAATTAGGTAATCAAAAACTAAGAATATACATAATTTAAAAGCTTAGGAATAATACTAAATTCATTTTTAAAACCTGCCAAATACTTTGATAAAACTGATAAAAATCAGTTCCCCTTTCCTTATAACATTTTACAACTGTTTGAGAAAATCAGATACGTAGCATATTGCATGAGCTAACAACAGCATTAAACAGCCAACTTCTTAGTTTGGGTTACCCCCAAAGCAGTATCTGAGATAAGAACTTGGATGCAGGAGTAAGGGGACTAGACGGGAAAAAGAAATGCCAATGAATGGCATATTGTTGAGCTGATTACCACTAAGGGCCACAGAAGCTCAATCCTACAGGGTATCATCTGCAGAACCATGTAAAACACGCCTTGGACTGCCCAGCCTCAACCGCTAATGATAAGGAGGTTGGGCATTCACCTACCAAGTCCCTGTGGTGCAATGTTGCTGCAAGGGGCTTTAACTCTCCAGTGCTTCTGCACTATAGCCATGTACTAGCTAAGTCAATTTCCAAGAAGAAAATTCAGAGGTGGAAAAAACGCACACACACAGCAAGTGTTTAAAGTGGGTTTGTATCTGCATGCAGAGATTATGCATTCCCTGTAGCTGAAATCAGAGTAAACCAACTAGATGTGACTCTAGGCACAAAAGGAATCTATATCTGATATACTCTTCTATCCAACCAGAGCATGTTAAATTTCTGATTCACTCTACATGACCAAACTATTTCATCTGACTTGATTTGCTTTCTCTAGGCAATGCTGCTAAAATAGTAGTGAATTAATCTAAGGTCTAAATGTTGAGTCTTTCATATTCAGTAATCACTTCTTAATTGCTTCATTAATGCCCTTTTAAATTTACATATAGATATTTTTATCACTAGGCCATAGCTCCTCCAAGGACATGAGTTTTGTCCAAATCTCTCTCCCCAATGACCCTCACCACTTCCCAAAATGCCTTTAACACAGGATACGCTAATTAAGCCATAAGTGTTACTGCCAAGTTCTACCTTCTTGAAGATAGGGATTGTATCTTTTTCCAAACCCAATAAAAGTAGTAAAATACAGTAGATTTTAACATTTCACTTTTGTGGGAATCTATAAAGTACAGATGCTAAAAATGTTCTATCAAATCAACATTTGCATTAAAACTGAAGACAACTAAGTTATTTCAATAGTGCTAAAAATACTGGATACTCATTTAGTGGTAATTTTTTTAAAATTATATATTTTAAAATGAAGATCAATTTATATACAAAATTCTCAAATGAAGTATTTTTAAACAAAAGTAAACAAAAGAATAAATCATTAAATATTATAAGTGCAAACCAAGATATTTTGGGGAGATACATTACTATAAATAAGGAGAAAAACTTACTGCTTGGTTTCTCTTCACCGAAGCAATACAAATTAAGCATGTCATAGCCCCTGCTTGAAAAGCTTCATTTACATATTGTTTTGTTCGCTCTAATTCACGTGTATCTCCATCTGGAAATTTAAAGATTGAAAATCTCACCCTAAACAACATCTGAAAATAACACAAACTCACTAATAGCACCACATTACGTAAGAACTGTCTAGTAATATCAATTGCTCAAAATATAGCTGTAAAACAAGAAGTTTTTTTAAAAAAGTAACCAATGAGCTGTCAAGAGGTAACAAAGTCTGTATATTAAATCTTGTATACATGGTTCAAAATCAGCACCTCAGCTCTCTCTCTCAGTTATACTTACTTTTTTGGCTGTTACAATTCTCAACAAATTTGGTAGAGGCAGAGCCATAAGCAAGAGCTGGAAGATGTAAAGTCTAAAGGAAAAGCAAAGTGTGAAAGGAAAAGCCTACACTAATTAGTAGAGTCACTTAGCATAAATATAAGCATAGATGTGAGTGAGTGGGTGTGTGTGTGTGTGTTTGTGTGTGTGTGTGTGTGAATTTAGTAGGTGTATTCTTAATAAAAACTTGTTGATGAAAAGACCCTGAGGTTTTTACAGTACGATAACCACATCTCATGAAATACGTTCACTATTTCTGCTTAAGAAGGCAGAATAAGCTTTTTAGAAAAAACAGTACCAGACGTTATTTTCTTTGAGTAATTACTGAGTGCTTATTTGCTAGACACTGTACTATTAGTACTTCAATAGGATTAAATGAGCTATTATCTTCATTTTACAAATGAGAAAACTGTGGCACAAAAGAATTAACTTCAGTTTGCCTACAAAGTGAACCCTCTTAACCTCTACGTTACACTGCAGTGAGCAGTTACCGCAGGAAGATCCAACAAATAACAAGTAACAGCAAAATGAAAAATAGAACAAGTCACCTAAAGCACAAATGACAACAAAAGGGCAATAATCTGAGTCACTTTAGTATGAGAAAAATAAGCCTGCATGGCTTTAGAACAATAAAGATATGTTCAATAGAGGTTGACTGAGTCTTCAAAAAAAAGTAGATTAAAACATAAACTAATGTAAGTACAGAACTTATCATGGTAATAACGTGGTTCAAGCCAAAATTTAAGTTGCCAAAAAGAAAAATGACATAAATAGGACATGTGGCTAATTCTTTACTTTCTAAAATCATCTGAGCAAACACAGCACTTACAAAAGCTTGCCCTACCATAAAATAAATGTGATTTAGGACATTAAACAAAATAAACACAAACATACTCTCAAAACTATAAATTATTATAAAATTATTAAAGACAATTGCTTTATTTTAAACAAATATTGTAGTATTTTAAAAAATTCTTAAGAGCAGAATAATAATATGGGGTGTCTATTTTGCTTTTCAACTAAGCTGGCATTAACAGATACAAAACATTTTAAATTTCATCTAATTTAACAGCTAACTCAAAAAACAGTATTTAAGAAGAAGACAGAACAGACTTTTACAAAATAAAAACTAACCTTATATTTTAAAAATTTATGTAAGATTTCTTTGAAACATTTAAAGTTTGGTTGCATCAATAAAATGTACTGCCCAGCACTTCACAGTGGATAGCATGGCATTTGAAGTCATGCATTTTAAAAAGATCACTCTGGCAACTAAAGAAAAATGAGTATGTGGAGGCCAAGACTGAAAGCAGGAAGTACCCGTTAAGAGGTAGTTACAGCAGATAAAGCAAAAAATGAGCTTGAGCAAGTTACCTAATGTGTCTCAGTTTTCTCATCTGTAAAATTAGTAGTAACAGTTATCTACCTCACAATTATTATATGGATTTAATCCACATGTTAAGCAGCTGTAAAGGCTTAAACTAGGCAGTAACAGTACACAGGCAGAGTAAGGGTAGATTTAAGAAATTTAGGAAGTAAAACTTAGGAGGACTTGGTGACAATGAGATTGTATCAGTTTTAAAAGCTGATGTTCATGTCAAGATTCAGAAGGAAGAGTGCTGTGTCTGCTGAGCTGTCTGACATGGGCAGAGGGAGAATTGCAGTAAACAACATGCATATGCCATCTCTGCTCCCAGATGTCTGGCTTGGGAGGGTGACTGAGAAAACTGTAGTGCTATTAAGATAAAGAACACAAAAGAATAAAAAAGTTCTCTTTCAACAGTAGTTTGATGTGTCCATGCATCAGCAAGATAGATAGAGATACTCATCAGGAAGTTGGCCATGCAAGTCCGAAATTTGAGACAAGAATCACAAAAATGCAAAGGCTGTGCTCAAATAAAAATGAACTCCTTTGGTAAAATCCTGGTCTTCAATTCAACAACGTTAAGGTGGGAACCATCCCATTACTCTGGCGTGTATGTTCTTAAATCAAGTGATCAGATTTTCTTACATTGGTAGAGGCAAAGGAATGGGAATCAAATACTAATGGATTTTATACAAAACACAGCATAAAAAAATTACCATAACACTGTAAGACTAAAAGTAGATTAAAAATTAATAAAACTTACAAATGACAAATGTTTTCTACATACTAGACTGAAAGACATTATTGCATTTCCTGTTGTAAAATAAAATCTGACTCTATCTAGAATGGTTCAAGCGAAGTCCTCTCAAAGCAGAAAACTTCTTATTTTCTATAAAGTCCTTTAGAAACAAGAAACCCTCTAACCTTATAATTACTTTTTATCAATTCTTACCTTGCCAAACTAGACTTCTCAGCCAAACTTCCTAATCTTAATTCCTAAGCAGTTATGGTAAATTCCTTAGAAACCTACTCGATGATGTGCAACTATCTTCATGATCCTATCAATATACTCAGGCAACTACCTAATCACCAAGGTTATGGGTTGGGAAGGAAAGGGTGAAATACATAAATCCTTCTGTCTGAAGACTTGAATAACTCTCAGCCAGGCACAGCGGCTCACGCCTGCCACTTTGGGAAGCTGAGGTGGGAGAATTCCCTGTAGCCAGGAATTCAAGACCAGTCCTGGCAACACAGGAAAGCCCTGTCTCTACAAAAAAAATTCTAAAAAAATTAGCCAGGCATGGTGGTGTGCGCTTGCAGTACCAGCTACTTGGGAGGCTAAAGCAGGAGGGTCACTTGAGCTCGGTAGTTCAAGATTGTAGGGAGCTATGATCACACCACTGCACTCCAGCCTGGGCAATAGAAGAAGACTGTCTCCAAAAAAAAAAAAAAAGACTAACTCTCATGCTCTTTATTTGCCTTTATGCTAACTCATGCTCAAACTCTGTTATGCTTCTGATTCTGTTGTACCAACAGTCCTGAATCCTGGCATCACTGGCCTTATACTTCTCATGAAAGCACAATATAATAACTAAGGAACACATTAGTATAGAGTAGAAGAGAGCTTAGGATGTGGGGCCTTATGATCAAGGGAAGACATGACTGAAAAAAGAAACAAATTTTTTAAAAGAAAGCAGCAGCTATGATAGAAAATCTCTAATAATCAAGCCACAAAATACATTAAACATTCCAGCAAACAGATACACAGCACAGACTACACAACAGGCACTACCATAAGCACTACGGTACTTACACATAGTGATTCATTTCATCCTAACAACTCTAAGGTACTTAGTGTCACTATACCCATTTTACAAAAGAAGAAACCGAGCCCCTAAGATGCTAAGCAATATGTCAAACATCCTACAGCCAAGTAGCAAAGCCAAGAATCAAACCATGGCAATCTGGCTCAAATGTCAATGTTCTTAACTGCTGTACAACGCTGCTTTTCCCCCATAAACAGGTACAAAAGTAACCATCTAATCTCCTCAGAATTTTCCTGCTTTTACAGAGAAGATGCAATCATCCCAGTAATGGCTCTAAAGCTAAGTAAACTAGGTTTAAACCCAGCTCTCCCAATTACTAATTGTGTAACTCTAGGAAAGTCACCTCTTCTCTGTAGAATTGTTTCCCAAAATATTTCTAAGGTTTTTCCTGGTTTTAACAGTGTACTAAAGTAAGAAAAAGAACCAAGCAAGGGTATAAATATATATTACTAATAAAAGGTATATAAACAATATGACATTTCTATAAATATATTAATAAATGTTGACATTACATGCAAAATACTTTTTTTTTTTAATTGAGACAGTCTTGCTCTGCCTCCCAGGCTGGAGTGCAGTGGCGCGATCTTGGCTCACTGCAACCTTCACCTCCCAGGTTCAAGCAATTCTCCTGCCTCAGCCTTCTGAGTAGCTGGGATTACAGGCGTGCACCACCACGGCCAGCTAATTTTTTTGTATTTTTAGTAGAGACGGGGTTTCACCATGTTGGCCAGGCTGGTCTCAAACTCCTGACCTCAAGTGATCCCCCCGCCTTGGCTTCCCAAAGTGCTGGGGTTATAGGCATGAGCCACTGTGCCTGGCCTACATGCAAGAATATTTCCAATAATAATTTTAAAGTATAAAAGGCAGAAAGTTTGACAATATTTACATTTAAAATAATCTATTTTTACACTTAATACTAAAGTGGTACACAGCAACATCACTTTGGCCCGTTCTCACATAAACATATGTGGCTTTAAGAGCAACCAGATATAAACCACAGATAATATGAATGTACATGTCAAACCTGAGGGAATTTAGGTTTTTCTTTTTTTTAAAAGTATGGCTAGATGCAGCACACGCCTGTAGTCTCAGCTACTCAGGAAGCTGAGGCAGGAGGATCACTTGAGCCCAGGAGTTCAAGGCTGCAGTGAACTATGATTGTACCACTGCAGTCCAGCCTGGGCAACAGGATAAGACCCCAACTCTAAAAATAAATACATCAGATGTTGTAAATAAGATATAAAATAAGGAAATAAAGAATTAAAAAGACTTCAAGACACATTTAACATGATGAAAAAAATGAATAGATTGAGGGGGTACACAAAGTCCTCTAGTTAAATTAAATCATCAAAACCAGAAAAAACTTGCCCCAGTTTGTTGCTCCAGAGCTTTAGCAGCCCCATCCAAGTTTTCTACTGAAATGCCAATTAAATACATACAAAGGCCTCCCAAGGCTATAAAAGAGCCACTGCCATTCTATTTGCTTTATACAAAAATTAGTCTTAATATATAACTCAAATACCAAAGTGTACAAAAATTCAACTCTAGAACACACAGTGCTCATCTTAAGACATAACATCTATTCCATATCGAACAAAGGCATTACCAAAAAAATGTCAGGAATACAGTTTCATTGACGTCAAAGGTCAAAATTTAGATGATCAGTACCTGTCTGAGTAGTGTATGTTATAAACGTATTTGCAACTATTTTTCCTTGTTTTCCTTCAAAATCTTCATCTCCTTCTTCTTCAGATGAAGAGCTAAAGTGTTCTTCAACAAGTTTTCTGGCTGCAGCTTGGTTAGCTTTCTTGATTTCTTCAAATTTTTTCTGAGACATTAGCTCTGTTTAAAAGAAAAAAGTTTCATTTCTGCAAAACAATCTCTCAAAAAGAAAAGCATAATGTGCTATCACTTTACAACATGCATTTCAAAGTCACCTTTGGAGCATTCTATCTTCCTGTAATCCATGAGAAAAGTATTTTGAAATTCCTTGACACACAACTAAAGAGGATACCACAACAAAAACTTTCACTTTTGTAAATATCCTGCTAAAATGCAGCAAATTTTTATGAAAACGGTGATTAACAAATCAAGAAAAAAATACAAAAATACAATAGAATTATCAAAATACTGGTGATCAACTTCAAAATAAGGACTAACAAAAATTAAGATGTTTTAAAGTACATTGTGCACAATAATTTTTAAGAAGTGAGGAAACATGTCCACAGTGAGCACATAAAGAATCAGGGAAGGTAGGTACTTCAAACTACCACCTTCTGAACAACAGGTAGGATAGGACAGGACGGTCCAGCCCAGTCCAGCCCAGTCCCACGAAAGAGTTTGTATCAGTAGTACTCACTATACACCTACTATATTTATAATCGGCTTCTTAGGTCAAGAACTTTTTGCCTTTAGTATTGACTTTTTGTGATCACAAAAAAATAAACATTTTACATTAATCCACACAAAATACTAACATGGAAAACATGTTTCTTCCAACTTCATTCCAAAAAGAATGTTAATTTTGGATTTGTTCTTCCACTATTTAGCACTATCTATACTTCTCATTTTGTTACTTGATTAATCATGCAAAACAAAATCAGATTACTTCACTGCACATACTCCCAAAGAAGCTTCAAACTTCTTGAGAGCAAGGACCACGGGGATTTTCTTCAAGCACTAAGTGTTAATAAGCTCTTATGGACAGCAAACACAGTTTAAGAAGGGAGCCATAAACCTGCAGAATTGATCTGAGTTCATGAATTCCCATCTTGAGAGGATTTTAAATTTACTGATTGACTATTTTAAAATCCACATTGTACTTGAAACTGATGAGCCACTACCAAGAGAAGCTCTCTTATCTTAGGTGGTATATTCATACTTATGTTCCCTCATGAAACATTTTCCTTTTCTTATTGCAGCCAGTTTGGTTAGGGGTTATTAACAAAACAAACTGAGTATTTCAAGTAAACCAGGACCAAAATGTATATCATGCTTCCCTAGCAATCTTTGAGTACTGGGAAAAAAGAACTGGCTATGAGATATATAACTCAAAACTTGTCATAAAAGAGATGATAAATGTCATTAATCTATGAGAAATTAGCACTTAAAAGACATAAGAGAAAAGGCTGAATTGGACAGAGATAATGAGAACATTCATAACCTGATAAATGTATTCATCAAACATCATCTCAAGGTAAAGACAAGTTGACAACGCAACCTTCTCACGTATTATTTCTTACAGCCAAATCTCAACTATCCAGGTAGAGAATGCTTGTTTTCATTCTACCCACAAGATCTAAGAAAGTTTACCAAACCTGTTCACACGTCTCCATATTGCATACCTTATCATTACCACCATTAACTGCATGCTAAGGCAATACCACCTACGTTTAAAATTAGCCTAGGAGAAAAATCACTGATACTCAATTCTGCTACCCACCCAAAAAAAAATGTATCCTGAAATGCATTCCAAACACAAAAATAAAATGATTTCAGGGATTATTCCCTCGGCCCCATGCACAACCGTAAGTGCTCCCTGGCTCCACGAAAACATGGTCTCGGATGAAAGGTATTGATATATCGGAGGCAACACCAGATATATCCACAGAAGGACATGGAATTTGTAAATAGGAACTACAGTCAAGGAAGGTATCAAAAGCTCAAGTGCTCACAAGGAATAGAAAAGTCAAGAAACAAAGGCAAAGGTAAAGATGACAAACGACACCTGGCTCCAGAAATGAGAGAGAATGTGAGATGGAGTGCCCAAGTCCAATCTAAATGGGATTTCTGTGACTCAGCTGAGCTGACTGTTGCCATGCACAAAGATACTAAAGCCACAAGGTTGTTAACCAGATTTTTAAAAACGACAAACAAACGCTGACAACCAATCCACATATAAAACTGTGTTAACCAAACAACACTATAGACCAAATCAGAACACCGGGCCACACTTTACAACTTATGGTCTGGAGATTCAAGCAGGCAAGAGTGGAGGGAAGGAACAAAGGTAATACCACCTAAAATTAAGATGAAAGAGGTGCGATGGAAATCTACCTAGAGTGCCGAAAAGAGCTGCCACCTGAAAGGCTGGAGAAGTGGGCCGGATAACAAACTCCCAAAGGAGGGGAAAAGCAGTGAAAGAGAGAAGGCGAGGGCGGAGGCGGTCCTGACTAGCAACTGCCTTAGGAGGCATCCAGGTGAGCCCGCGGGCGGGAGCCATTCTCACCGCTGGCTGCGGGAGTCTGCAGGGCTTGGGATCCAGCTGGGCTGTGCCTGCTCCCTGCAGCCGCCGAGGTCGCGACTCCTCCGGGACTGGCGCCAAAAGGAACCGCGCCCACCGACCCCTTCTCTCGCCCTCCTCCGGCGCCGCGGAGATGGATTCCATTTCCTGAGGGGGCGGCAGTGGCCCGTCCCCGGGCTCGGCCTCGGCCACCGGCCACCTGGCGCCAGGAAGCTTCCATCCCTGCAGAGGAGGAAAAAAAAAAAAGAGTGGAAGGAGGTGAGCGCAGCGAGGACCGAGGCGAAGGAGGAGAGAGTCGGTGCGGAAACCCCGTATGAGGGACCGAGTGAGGAAGGTTCCTGCAGGACGGGCACCGAGTTTCAGGAGGTCGCGGCCCTGCCTTTACCGGAGGGCGAGTCCCCGCCAAGCCTGGGCTTTGGAGATGGACCGAAGAGGCGAGGGAGGACTAGGCAGAGAAATAAACCGCGGAGCAAGGAGCACACTGTACCCAAGACGGAAAGCCGGAGAAGTGGAAAGCGCCTCCTCAGCCTCTGGGGGAGCGTAGTAGGGGAAGAGTCACAGACTGACCCTGCGGCTCCTGCCGGGAACCAACCGCAGCGGTAGACACCACTGAAAGCTACGTCTCCTTACCGACGGCGCTCGCCCCAACAGACTACAACTCCCAGAAGCCCTCGCCCGCGGTCCGGCGACTGCGTGGCAGCACGGGCCGCTTCCTTATCCGGAAAAGTGCGGGGGTTGGGCGTGAGGGGAACCCCAAGCGCCTGCGCTGGCCTCTGAAAACTACAACTCCCGGCGTGCTCTGGGGCTAGGGAGGGGTCGAAGGTCATAGGGGCGGACGATGGTGGAGGTGGGCGGGTCCGGAGGGTCTAGTGACTCCCCAATTTGCTTCTGCTTCTGCAGGACTGCCCTAAACCCAGCTGGGTATGAGGATTTCATGGCTCTGTCCCAATTGGCTCTCTGTCATATTTTATTATCCTTGCCTTTGGGCTTGCGGATGGCAGGAGGTGTCAATGTAAAATAATCAAAAGCGCAAAGTTTGAGGATAGCCCACCTTAGAAACACCGACTCCTAGGAAAGCAGTCAGCCTTCCGAAGTAGAGATTTAAGATTTCATTTATGTAGGCAGAAACGGAGACGTTTTTAGGAGGATTACAACATTTTCTCATACAAGGTTAGCGAATAGTTACAACAATTTGCTTATAGACAGTATTTCTTTTTGGGAAGGGTACGTTTAACGTTTTTCATAAAGAATTTTCTTTCATCTGATCTAAGCAAACCAGGGCAACAAAGCAGAACTTAATCTATAAGGATCATTAAGAAGGCAGGAAGTTTTTGTCCTTAACTTCGTTTAATTCTCCCTACCCATTGTATAGAACAAGAAAAATAAGAAAGCAAGTTAATCTGTAATCTGAGAAACAGAAGTTGTAACCATGTGTGACTCCGATGACAGTCACATCTCTCTCCAGGCTTAGTGAGTTTTAGGTTCCAACAGCGTTTAAATTGTATTTATTTTCATAGGGAAGTCTCATTAACAGGAAAGGCACTTACATTGAAAACGCTTTGAGGTTGGCCACTGTGAAGGAGGGAAATTTGGGGGAGAGTTGCAGGAAAGTGGCTTGAGTAGTAAAAGTACCATTCTAAAATGCTAGAGCAATGTAGAAAATAAATCTAAAACCTGTTATTGTCATAGTCCTTTGTAGTGTGCAATGAGGCTTCCCTGGAACATGATAATTTTTACCTTCACAGCATCTCCCTAAAATAGATTTTGTTAAGGAAAATAGTTGAGGGCCAGGACCTAAATCTTATGATTTTGCTGAGTTTTCCTGTAAGATACATATGCATATATACAGTCGGGTAGATTGCAAAAATTCATTCTGGGGTCTATCTGGGACTGAGAAACATATTGATGGCTCTGTGGGATTATACAGTCCTTAAACAGTCCTTCAACTTAGTTAATTCTTCTATTTTTATCATAAATTTCTATTATAATAGATAGAATTTGTTAGATGTCAGGCACTGTTTAAAGTGTTTTACGTTATGTATTAACTAATTTCGTACTCACAGTAACCCTATTTATTATCCCCATTTTACAACTGAGAACACTGAGGCACAGAGAGATTAAGCAATTTGCCCTTGATCATACAGCTAGGAAGTAGTGAAGCCAAGATTCTATCCTAAGTAGTCTAATATTAGAAACCATGCTTTTAATGTCTTAAACATAGACATTGCAAAATTGCCTGTACATTAACCAAACTCAAAAATGACGTCCCATGGCCAGGCATGGTGTCTCACGCCTGTAATCCTAGCACTTTGGGAGGCCGAGGCAGGTGGATCACCTTAGGTCAGGAGTTTGAGGCCAGCCTGGCCAACATGGTGAAACCCTGTCTCTATTAAAAATACAAAAATTAGCCGGGCATGGTGGTGGGTGCCTATAATCACAGTTACTAGGGAGACTGAGGCAGGAGAATCGTTTGAACCCAGGGGGCGGAGGTTGCAATGAGCCAAGATCGTGCCATTTCACTCCAGCCTAGGTGAAAGAGCAAAACTCCATCTCAAAAAAATGAAAAGAAAAAAAGAAATAACATATCTGAGAATGATATAACTTCATTGGTTAGAAACTAAGAGGTCCACAGCAGCTCTCTTAATGCAGCACTTGTGTAAGAACTGTAAGTTTAAAGCTGCAACCAGCTTTCAAAGTTTGAAAACCCTGAAGCGAGATTTTTCTTCAGTGGGGTTTTCACATACAGGAAAGGAGCTGTTAAACTCTGAGAGAGAATATAGTAATTATCACGAGGTAATGTCCAAGAAGTATTGAGTGGCTACTAAAAAGAGAGATCCTTCTTAGAGTTATGTTATATGCCAGAGAGCTGGACTAGCATTATATCTAAATCTCCATGTCAAACTTTCTTGAGAAATTGTTTCTGTTCCCGTGAATACTTAATAGCTAATAACAGTGACTGACAGTCCTTGAGTGCTTTCTACATGCCAGCATTCTTCTAGGTCCTTTTTTCTTTTACTCATCTAATTTTCACAACCATGAAGTAGGTATTGTTATGGTCAAAACAATTTTTCCATTATACTTTAAGTTCTAGGGTACATGTGCATAACGTGCAAGTCTGTTACATAGGTATACATGTGCCGTGTTGGTGTGCTGCACCCATCAACTCGTCATTTACATTAGGTATTTCTCCTAACGCTATCCCTCCACCAGCCCCCAACCCTGCAACAGGCCGTGGTGTGTGATGTTCCCCTCCCTGTGTCCATGTGTTCTCATTGTTCAACTCCCACTTATGACTGAGAGCATGTGGTGTTTGGTCTTCTGTCCTTGTGATATTTTGCTGAGAATGATAGTTTCCAGCTTCATCTATGTCCCTGCAAAGGACATGAACTCATCCTTTTCTATGGCTGCATAGTGTTCCATGGTGTATATGTGGCACATTTTCTTTATCTAATCTATTATTGATGAACATTTGGGTTGGTTCTAGGTCTTTGCTATTGTGAATAGGGCCTCAGTAAACATGCCTGTGCATGTGTCTTTATAGTAGCATGATTTATAATCCTTTGGGTATATGCCCAGTAATGGGATTGCTGGGTCAAATGATATTTCTAATTCTAGATCCTTGAGGAATTGCCACACTGTCTTCCACAATGGATGAAATAATTTACACTCCCACCAACAGTGTGAAGGCATTCCTATTTCTCCACATCCTCTCCAGCATCTGTTGTTTCCTGACTTTTTAATGATTGCCATTCTAACTGGTGTGAGATGGTATCTCATTGTGGTTTTGATTTGCATTTCTCTGATGACCAGTGATGATGAGCATTTTTTCATGTGTCTGTTGGCTGCATAATTGTCTTCTTTTGAGAAGTGTCTGTCCATATATTTTGCCACATCCTTTTTGATGGGGTTGTTTTTTTCTTGTAAATTTGTTTAAGTTCTTTGTAGATTCTGGATATTAGCCCTTTGTCAGATGGATAGATTGCAAAAATTTTCTCCCATTCTGTAGGTTGCCTGTTCACTCTGATGATAGTTTCTTTTGCTGTGCAGAAACTCTTTAATTTAATTATATGCCATTTGTTTAGTTTGGCCTTTATTGCCATTGCTTTTGGTGTTTTAGACATGAAGTCTTTGCCCGTGCCTATGTCCTGAATTGCATCATCTAGGTATTCTTCTAGGGTTTTTATGGTTTTAGGTCTTGCATTTAAGTCTTTAATCCATCTTGAGTTAATCTTCGTGTAAGGTGTAAGGAAGGGATCCGGTTTCAGTTTTCTGCATATGGCTAGCCATTTTTCCCAACACCATTTATTAAATAGGGAATCCTTTCCCCATTGCTTGTTTTTGTCAGGTTTGTCAAAGGTCAGATGGTTGTAGATGTGTGGTGTTATTTCTGAGGACTCTGTTCTGTTCCATTGGTCTATATATCTGTTTTGGTACTAGTACCATGCTGTTTTGGTTACTATAGCCTTCTAGTATAATTTGAAGTCAGGTAGTGTGATGCCTCTAGCTTTGTTCTTTTTGCTTAAAATTATCTTGGCTATATGGTCTCTTTTTTGGTTCCATGTTAAATTTAAAATAGTTTTTTCTAATTCTGTGAAGGAAGTCAATAGTAGCTTGATAGGGATGGCATTGAATCTATAAATTACTTTGGGCAGTATGGCCATTTTCACAATATTGATTCTTCCTATCCATGAGCATGGAATGTTTTTGCATTTGTTTGTGTCTTTTCTTATTTCCTTGAGCAGTGGTTTGTAGTTCTCCTTGAAGAGGTCCTTCACATCCCTTGTAAGTTGTATTCCTAGGTATTTTATTCTCTTTGTAGTAAATGTGAATGGGAGTTCACTCATGATTTGGCTGTCTATTCTTGGTGTATAGGAATGCTTGTGATTTTTGCACATTGATTTTGTATGCTGAAGTTGCTTATCAGCTTAAGGAAATTTTGGGCTGAGACAATGGGGTTTTCTAAATATGTAATCATGCCATCTGCAAACATAGACAATTTGACTTCCTCTTTTCCTAATTGAATACCCACCTTTTATTTCTTTCTCTTGCCTGATTGCCCTGGCCAGAACTGCCAATACTATGTTGAATAGGAGTGGTTAGAGAGGGCATCCTTGTCTTGTGCCAGTTTTCGAAGGGAATGCTTCCAGTTTTTGCCCATTCAGTATGATGTTGGCTGTGGGTTTGTCATAAATAGCTCTTATTATTTTGATATGTGTTCCATTAATAACTAGTTTATTGAAAGCTTTTAGAATGAAAGACTGTTGAATTTTGTTGAAGGCCTTTTCTGCATCTATGGAGTTAATTAATCTTGTGGTTGTTGTCGTTGGTTCTGTTTATGTGATGAATTATGTTTACTGATTTTCATATGTTGAACAAGTCTTGCATCCCGGAGATGAGGCCAACTTGATCGTGGTGGATAAGCTTTTTGATGTGCTGCTGGATTCAGTTTGCCAATATTTTATTGAGGATTTTCACATGGACGTTCATCAGGAATATTGTCGTAAAATTATCTTTTTTTGTGGTGTCTCTGCCAGGCTCTGGTATGGGATGATGTTGGCTTCATAAAATGAGTTAGGGAGGATTCTTTCTTTTTCTATTAATTGGAATAGTTTCAGAAGGAATGGTACCAACTCCTCCT